AGCAGTACAGTCAATTACAAATTTTCTTAAGTCTGTTAGACTCTAACATTGTAGTATAGATCCTGATTTTTGAAGCATATAGTCCAATTGGAGAGTGAAGGTGAGTGCATAGATAGCGATTAAAGAACAATTAAGTGGTAACCTGGGTATCATTCTATCTAAGTGCCATGGCACAGAGAGCTTACATTTCTTTATCTTGCTTTCAGTTGGAGCTATCTGCGTATTACCACCACACATAACTTTAGGGACCATTTTACACCTATACTAGCTCTTTTTTATTTTCCCAGATTTTGGATTTCAAGGTCCCTGGCAATTTGTCAATTTCAGATGATTTGAATATCAACTGTAATACATATCTTGTGTGTGTGTGTGTGTGTGTGTGTGTGTGTGTTTTAATATATATTTTTATTGGTTTTAGAGAGGAAGGGAAAAGAGAAAGATAGAAATATCAGTGGTGAAAGAGAATCATTGAGCAGCCGCCTCCTGCACACCCCACATTGGGGATTCCTGGTCAGGGCGCATGCCCAAACCCAGGCATGTGCCCTGACCAGGAATCAAACTGTGAACTCCTGGTTCATATATCTATGCTCAACCACTGAGCCATGCGGGTCTGGCTCTAATACACACCTTTTAATCAAAGCATCCAGTGCTTCCCTACCTGGATAACCAGCACACAACCTTCCTGACCTGTTCCTCCCCCAGAGCATAAAGTAGCTGGAGTGGGCTGTCCCTGCAGCGATTTCTCTTTTGTTATTCCCCGGAGAATGCCATTCTCTCCTTCCCTGTAGTTAAGTGTTATTTTAGGGTTCAAGGAAAAGTAGAGAGGGGAAAGAACAAAAAGGCTTTAACTAAAAAAAAAAAGGGGGGGGGGAACTATAATAATAAAAAAAGCTTTTCTTCTTGATTAAGAATTGAAACTTATTTTTAGGTTCATTGGGCTACAAAGAGAGGGCAACTTGCATGCTCTAATGGGAGCAGTCATCAGTGTAATGAGTTGGAGTTGTATTGTTTGCTAGAAGCTCTGTGACAAGCCCTCACTTAAGTTACTTCTAACAGTTTCTGGTGTAGTATATCTTTAGTTTGTCTTCAGTCCATACTCACAAAAATGCTAACAGTAGTAAAATGAGAAATATATTAAAATTTAAAATACAGTGATAGTGTCACTATATTTAGTTGTGCAAAATAAGGCTTTGTAGGCAGTCAGAAGTAGATTTCAGTCTAAGCTCTTCATCTCACTGTGATTTTGGGCAAGTAACTTAGAACTTAAGACCCATTTTCTTCCTCCCTAAATTGGGAATTATACTAATACTATTGTATTTCATAAGGTCATCATAAGGAATAATTATATGTGTAATATATATTTATAATATACTGAGTGGCCAGATTATTATGATCTTTGAATGCATAATAATCTGGCCACTCAGTATATATATGTAATATACCTGTAATAAACATAATTTGATAGCTTTTCCAGTTATATTGAGATTTCCTTAAACATGGTAAAGATTTCATTTGATAAATTTCTCCTTTTTTTTTGTCATAGTGACAGAGTATGATAAGTTGAGATGTCAATTAAATTGATAAAATGGATAGATTTATTTTATTCAGATGGTATATACCTGATAAAGATACTGCATTCATTTTTTAAAGGAATTCCCCATCCTTGGCCTCACTGGGAGATAATTTTTTTGCCATTTTGGAGATAAGTGGTTCTTGTTTGCCAGTAACTATTTTTACTGTATTTTATGTTTAAGTACAATGGGTTGTGTATTTGTATCTATCTTTCATTGCAAATAATTAACCAATTCCCAGTTTTCTTTCAGGTAAATGTTGGAGATATAGTTATAATAAAAGGCAAAGAGTATATACCTGCTGACACTGTACTTCTCTCATCAAGGTAGAGATACCTACTGATGCTCAAACAGTGTAGAGGATGGTCTCTCTACCCTGCATTGACCTTGTATTTCTCCAAGGAAATAAGGAATAAACGAAGAATTTTAAACCTCTCTGATGATTCTGAATTAAGCATTAAAAATTTGATTGTTCTTAAGAGACTCTTTCATGTTTGCTATATAAAATAAATAATAAGCACTGTACTTTATAAATCAGAACTTATAATTATGGTTAAGAGTCTCTTCCTCTGGATATGTCCAGATCCTTTAAATGTGGACCATTAACTCTTATCTGATTTCCTGTCATTTATTTTATATAATACATGGATTGGGTTGTACTGATTTTATCTTGCAATCCTTGTTCATGACGAATCCCTTTATGATGCATTTGTATCTCTCTCCAAAGTTACTTGATTTTTATGGTGCATTGGTACAAGAAAATGGATGATTTCTTTTTTTGGCATCATATCTTTTGAAATGCCATACTCTTCCAAGAAAAATTGCAGTATTTTTATCCTTTTTATTTTAAAGTTCTTTCCATTACTGAGTTTAGATAATTTTTGTTTCACTCATATTTAAGATAGTCATGAATTAGTATTCAGAACATATGACACTGTTACCCTTTAAAGAATATGACTTTCAAATGGTTTTTGGTTTAAAAACTATAAAACTAGTCCTAACATAAAATAAAAAAATAATGTTTTTAATCTTTTAGAGGTTGTTTATCGTCATTTCCTTGGACAGTTTTATTTGTAAAATCCACATATAAATATGGACAGTGTCCTTTTTTTCAAAATCTGTTTAATCAGGTCTTTATGGAAAGTGATTGGATGTATGACAAATTAGTGAAATTCGAATGAGCAAGTAAAACTTATCCAGATATTTATAGAAGTAAGCCTATAAATAGTTGAAATATATTTTTATATTTTTTAATCAGGAGCTCTGTGCCATTTCTTTATAGATTTTGAAGTTATGAAGTTTTTAAATTAACCTTTATGTTTATAGTTTCCTTTACTTAGCGTTTGATTAGGGTAGGTTTCTAAAACTGAAGTAAAGGGGGTGGCCCGCACATGGCAGTGTGGGAATGAGTTTAACAGGCAGTCTGTTGTCTTTGTCTCAGGTGCTGTAGGGCCTCAGTATGAAAGAGCACTGCTTAGTCTAAGCCAAGAAACTTGGCCCCCTATCTCCTTAGGAGATAGGGGGCCAAGTTTCTTGGCTTGGTGATTTTGAACAAAACACTTAATCGCTCAGGCCTTAATTTCATATCTTTTTAACTGAGGAAGATAGATTACTTAAACTCTCATAATCCTCAATTCTTGTTGTTTAAATTGATAGCATTTCATTAAGCTTTCAGCATGTCTGACCTATAGAATGATATGCCAAATAAAAGTTTGAGAAATATACTAGATGACTGACCACCTGAATGTCATGTTTATATAATTTTCAAAATTATAGTAAAACATTTCATCAATTTGTGTATTGATGTTTTTCTGATTAAACTTATCATGGAGACATTATCATAGAAATAATAACATATGTTGAACCATTGATTACAATGTTTAAATTTCGTATGCTCAAAATTATGAAGGTAACTGCCTATACTGCCCTGGCTTTGTACTTAGCTCTAAGTTAAAAGTTGTCAAAACATTTCTCATCTGCCTCTTTCTTAATCCCAGAAATTTCCATAATGCTCTGTTCTTGTAGTTCTTAAACTTCAGGGCATTTTAAAAGGATTTATTTTCTAAACATTAAAAACATTTACTGGTGGCTATCAATATTGGCAAATCAAAATAGTTCCTTATATCTTAATATAGCATCCACAGTGATTAACTTCCTCCAAAAATTAGTACTTTTAAAAAGGTTACCTGATATTTCTGTCCAAGTGACAAAATACCACCTGTCAGTCTTTTTTTTTTTTTTTTTCCAAAGGGTTTTTTAATTACTTGGCTCTTTTGAAACTTCATTAGATTTTAAAAGCAGGTGAAGTTTTGTCATCATTAACAGAAAGAGGAATTTTGGCTTTATTTTGTTTTTGGCCACTTAACTTTAGCTAATGATAAGGTCACTGTTAGACTACTTAATTCCTAATCTAATATCTTCATTATACCGTATATCTGTTATCAAAATAAGTACATGGTGATTTTCCCCTGTACTAGCAATAAACAACAATTTATAATATTTCAATTTCTAATTTTTAAATTATTAATTACTAGTAGTATATCTTCTTTGAGGTAGTTTGAAATTAAAGCATGAACATGTTGAAAGTAGTTTCATTGATTTTCATTCTGAAATAAAGAAACTGAAATTTTGTCATATAACAAACAAATAGATGCATGAGTTTAGAAAGTATAAAATAGAGTTAAATAACTCAGACTATAAATTCAAATCCAAACAGGTTCTTGGCATGTCTACTTTATACTTTAGAGATTTTTCTCCCAGGTTCAAAGGATTACCCACCCAAAATGATACATTTCTACACTTTATTAGTTATTAAATAACTCAAAACACTGCAATTATGCCTCCTAACATCCTAAAATCCATGTATTTGCAGGCCTGCATTAAAGTTGATAAGATATTTATGTAATAACTTTGAAAATATTTTGTAATCAGAAAATTTTAAAGGTTTTTTTTTTTAGTGTATGTATAAAAGAAGAGCTAGTGTAGTATACTCTGTTTTTCAAAAGTAGTTTCCTAAAAAGTAATTTCCACAATTATTTCCTTCTATGCTAGGAGTGGACACAGAGTAGATTGGCAGGAGAGTGGGGGAATTAGAGAAAATAAAATCTTTCAGATAAAGTAGCTCTCTATATAGAAAGATCTTTTTATTAAATATGATACGATGTGTTTATAATTAAATTTTTGATAAATCAGAAATTTTCACATTAAACGTTGAGCTTGAAAGTGAATACATAATCCTTCAATAGTCCATGTTTTCTTGTACCTTTGGACCTGATCAAAATAAGTTTTGAAAAAATTGGCATTAGACATTTTATTAACATGTGTTATTTTCTATAATAATTTCAAACTTTCTGTCTCCTTTGTCCATTTGTTGTTTTTCTCTGTTATTTTTTTTTCTCCATTTTGATTATTTTAAACTGGGACCTGTAGGTGGCAGTAGGGGAGATAGTGAAAGTGACCAATGGGGAGCATCTCCCAGCAGATCTCATCAGCCTGTCCTCAAGGTTAGAGCATGGAGCCCTGCAGGATGTGTGCATGGGATCCTCACCCTCCAGCAGAGAACAGTTACACCAAAAGATGACTGAGTTCTGTGTCTCTTCCTAGAAAACACAGACTTTTTTCTACTTCTTGGGGATGGACATTTCACAGATGTTTTAAAGGCCTTGTTGAAAGCAATGTTGGCTGATGTTCATCCCTTAAGTAGGCAGATTCAGCTCCTATCAGTAGGAGCCCATGAGGCATGCCATTAAAGCTAGACTTTAATTTCCTGTGCATCATTCATATATATATTCATTTTTTTTTAACAACATGCCTAAATACTAAGGCTTAATTCAGTGCTTCTCCAGGATATTATTTTGAACAATGTTAAGCTTTACATGAAAGCTATTGAGAAATATTTAAGATTTTAAATGGTTGTCTTACATCTGAAATTTTCTGTAAGTTCTAGAGAATCCCTTCAGCACACATGGCTGTTATTTGGGCTTGTCTAGGGTCTATGGAGGACTCCCTGCACAAAGCTCACTGTTGTACATTCTGTACCGCATGCTCCAGGGTCAATCGTTATCCCATTTGTAACTAGTGACAAAATGCACATGACTGTGGTAATGTCAGCTGTCTGCTAGTGTCTTGAGTGTGATGTGCATCTTGTTTCATTTTCCCCACTCGCTAATCAAAAAGCCTGCTTTGCTTCTCGGCCTGTAGTTTGTGTGTTGGATGTCTTCATACTTTGCTGAAATATCTAATGTGTAGCATGATTCTTCTCTGATACATCTTGCTGCCTTTTCATAGCACTGTTAAGAACCGCTTCAGTAATAGCTGTCTTCAGGGATTAATATGTTCTGAATTGGATGCATATTTAATTTGCCCCATTTCAAGTAGAAATCAGCCATTTAACTTTCTAATTTCCTAGCCATTTAAAGTCCTAGAAAAGTTGCTTTTTGGAAAAAAAAAAATAGAATTAGAATGTTATTCTCATTTTAATGGGAGAATAGCCTTGGATCTGTAAAGTAAAACTTTTAATGCCTTTTTTACTGCCCAAATCTGTAATCAGCATTGTTCATTTAGCATGTGTTTATCGTCATGCTTCTGTATTTTCAGAAGATGTGCTTTATAATTTCATAAACCATTTCTGTTCCAAATATATACATAAGTAAATTACAAATTGAGAGCAATTGCCAGAGCCACATTAGTATTGTAACAGTAATAATAATAAAAAAAAAAAACTTTGAATAATTGATAGAATGAAAAATAAATATTGAAAATTTTTCCCGTTGGGGAAAAGTATCAGTTTTTATGGGATTATAAAAAAGCCCATAGAGTAAATTGAAGAACATGAGAACATGCAAAGTTACTTTAAAGTGAATCTGTAAAATATTTTATAGCCATATGGTTAATAATTTTCACAGATCTTCAGGACACAAGCTCTATGCCCATTTTTGAAACTCATAATAGTCTGTTTTGCACATACACACATTGGAAGTTGATTAGAAAATTCCAGATGATTGTAACTAATAAATTTATTTCTTCCCAGCTTTGAATACACATGCTCGTTAGAGAGTGCCTTCATATTTGCTTGTGTGATGTTCCCTAATTAGGCTTATGTAATGGAGTGCCAATAAGACTTATTAACTTCAGAACGCTTTGCCTTATATTTGAGAACCAGCTTATACATTGGGACATTATGTACTATACATAATAACCTGTCTATAATTATTACACAAGGACAGTTAGTATGTGAAGGGGCAGGATATAGGTGGTTCAGGACACGGTGTTTGTAGGGGAAAGAAAAAAAAAAAAGCTGGAGTACCTACCGTCCCACCAGCCAGTGAACACCAGGATCTTCTAGGTCAAAGAGCAATAGGGCTAAATTAGCTGGTTTTCGTTATATTTCGGTTTTTTACTGTCCCAACAGTCTCTAAAACAACTTTAAGAAACAGAATAGGAGCAGAAAGCTACTTTCACTGCAAAATCTGTTCATAACGTTTTTAAAAGTAGTTTCAAATTTTCAGTATCACAGTTCCTGTGATTCTAGTCATCTTCCCTACAAGGCTAGTACATGCAAGTCTGTAGAAGCAGCAATCTGGAATTTTCTAATCAACCACTTCCTGAACCGGTTTACATGTGGCTGTGAGCATGAACCTCACTTGATATTTTTGAGCGAAAGATAAATCTGGGCACATGTTGCAGATACAGTCTGTGATGTATCTTTGTGGATGAACACGAAGTCCGATGGGACACATTTAAGCATTTACTTCATCTTGAAGGTCTGCACTGATTGTTGCCAGGAAACCGCTTTGGGATCCTTCTGGCTGGAAAGCTGGTCCATGAGTTGTCATGCATGGGTTCTCCGCGCAGCGTTTTGTACTAAGAATGGAAACCGGCAAGAAAGGGGATGGCTAGAGCTTTGCTTAGAATGAAATCAGCTTCAGTGAGTCTGAGCAGTCAGGAAGCTAGTGTCATGCTTTTCTTCCCCCACTGACCCTTTCTCCTTTTCAATCTTAAACAACAGTGAGCCCCAGGCCATGTGCTACATTGAAACATCCAACTTAGACGGTGAAACAAACCTGAAGATTAGACAGGTAAGACCTGACACAGGTTTGTCTCGTGGCTGCTGTGTTCTTACATGGAATCAGTAGCTTTACTTCTGTCTCGAGTTGAAGTACCGGTTTTTTCGGACCATAAGACGCTCCGGACCATAAGACGCACCAGTTTTTAGAGAAGGGAAATGAAGAAAAAAAGATTCTGAAACAAATAGTGTCCTAAAATATTTTATGTGCATTAAAACCCAACATCACAGTCATAAACACATGTAATCAACCCTGTAAAGTAAATAGCAGCATTTAGAACCATTTTAGAGCCGGGCAAGCACACAGAGACCACACAGAGCTGGGCAAGTAAAAAAACTTTTTTTTTAAAGTATATGTGTAGGCTATATTTGGACCATAAGATGCAGGGACTTTCCCCCCCCACTTCTGGGGGGGAAAAAGTGTGTCTTATGGTCCAAAAATATGGTAATTCTGTCCAGTTGTGGATGTTTTCTCACTGAGCCCCTATGAAGAGGGTTTAGAAATCAGTATCATTATGTTTTTTGGAACACTCTGATTTACTTGCCTGATTAAATAGGGTCCTGTTTGTATAGATACTATTTTAAATATTTTTATGTAGTAGCCAACAATCTGATGATCACAATAGTAGTCATTCTAATTGCTTTTGTTGTGTGTTAGCTTATTATTTTTGCCTATTCACCTGACCCAAATTATTTGGCTTACCTATAGCGAGAAGACAGTTTTCGTTGCTGTTCTAATTGTCTCACTCATCTCAAGGAATAGTCTAGATTTGTTTATTTCTCACACCATCTCTAATAGAAAGCAACTGTAGGGTTTTTATCTTTAAAGTTGTAAAAGGGACTTGAAAAATGTACAGTCACTTTTCATTTGAAAAACAGGGATGGCTCTGAGAAATACATCCCAATGTGATTTCATCATTGTGCGAAACACGCGAACCTAGATGGTTTAGCCTACTACACACCTAGGCTGTAGTCAATTGCTTGTATACTACAAACCTGTACATGTTACTGCACAAACAACAGGAGGTTAAATCAACCACAAGAGAAAATGATGCCAACACTCAGTGTCTCAGGCTGCTGCCTCCTTAACACACATCCAGTTTATAGCACACTTTTTTTGTAAGTAGAAATGGTATTTTCTAAATCATGATTAAAAAAATATAGTAAATACATAAGCCAGTAACATCATCATTACCAAGTATTATATTATGTACTATACATAATTGTATGTGAGCAATGCATTGCAATGTCCGTAGGCAAAAAGGATTGTTCAGCTCCATGATAATCTTCCAGAAACGGTCACATACACACATTGGAAGTTGAATATGCCATCACTTGTTGGTCAAAACATTGTTAAGCTGCTCATGACTGTGTTACCTAGGGTTCTAGGTGAATGGGAAGAAGGACATGTGGTAGATTGGGGTGGAGGGGAGGGAAATCGGTCATCACAGCACCTGAGTTTGGCTCCAGACATTCCTTGGCCAGAGGGAAGAACTGGTTTGGACATAGATTTTATTCATTTTTCAGCCACTTTCTGAGATTCAGCAGAGAGATTCATACTGTACTTTTTTAAGAATTTATTTTAAAATATCTTTTCAGACTAGTTTATAGTCTCTCAACTATATTTTAGAACTTTCCAATAGATGTCCTATTCTTGTGCTAGAAACCTGTGTTCCAGTGGAAAGTAAGGGATCCCTTCATTAGGAATCTACAAAGAATGTTTGTTGTCTGAAGGGGAGAATTGTTTATAAAATAGTGGGACCTCTTATGTCAGAGGCCTGGGTGGATTCAGAATCCCTCCTTCCCCCCCACATGCAGTGTATTTGATATACTCTTTACTTACTGAAACATTTCTAAACAGGGCTTACCAGTGACAGCAGATATAAGAGACATTGACAGTTTGATGAGAATTTCCGGCAGAGTTGAGTGTGAAAGTCCAAACAGACATCTCTACGATTTTGTTGGAAACATAAGGCTTGATGGACATGGGTATGTAAAGTCGGTCTTCATAAGGACACAGAATCCCCTGTGTCCCAGTGTATTGCTAACCTGGGTACGTACTTCCTTGTGCTCTCAGTCTGAGCACTCAAAACCTTTTCCTTGAGCACTTGTACAGTACGTGAACCCAGAATCCACCATCTGAAAATGATGAGATCTGTGAATTTATTTTACCTTGTGTATTTATTATTTATTTTTATTTTTTTTAATATGTTTGTATTGATATCAGGAAGGGGGAGGGAGAGGAAGGTAGAAACATCAATGATGAGAGAGAATCATTGATAGGTTGCCTCCTGCATGCCCCACATGGGAAATTGAGCCCACAACCCAGGCATATGCCCTTACCGGGAATGGAACCATGACCACCTAGTTCATAGGTCAACCACTGAGCCACCTCTGCCTGGCACAAAGCTATTTTTAATTTAAAGGAAGATGAGGGAGGGGCGACAGAGCTCCTTACCTAAACACTTCCGAACATCTCAGAGCCCTAAATGGACTTAACTAAATCAGGGAAAGGCTTGAATAGGCTTGAAAATGAGCCTATTCCACAACGTTGCCTCCTATTTTAGATTGTGAATTTGTAGGAAATGGCAGGATTGATGTTTAAGGAGAAGCCACTGAAATGCTTCCCCGCAGCTGTTCTCATGTAAGAAAATTCTTATGGGCAGAAAAATGACTTCTTTTCTAAACATACAGTAAATCTGAGAAGGGTTATGGTATTTAAATAACAGAGCCTTTTTTTTTTTTTTTTTTTTGAACGTTATAGTGTCAGTAGGGCTCTGAAGCGTCTTAGAAAATGCCGTTTCTAATGCCAGTGTCCTCTGTCGCAGCACCGTGCCCCTGGGAGCCGATCAGATCCTTCTTCGAGGCGCCCAGTTAAGAAACACGCAGTGGGTTCACGGAATAGTCGTCTACACTGGACACGACACCAAGCTGATGCAGGTGGGCTTTGTATCCGGGCAGACCTCCTCCGCCTCGGTCTTTGGGACATGTGCTGTTTGTGGCTTTCGGTGCGGTCGTCCCACACTTAGTAAACCATCTGTCACAGATCCCTGCGCCCCACTTTCTGCCTCCAGACTCTCGTGCTTGGGTGAGTGGGCAGTGCCGTGGTTCACTGCACACACCACACCAGAGCATCTCTCCAGAGACCACCCGCTGCGCGAACTCTCAATGATCTTGCGTGTTGGCTCCATCGGCGGCATTTTCTAACTATTGAAGGGATACATGCAAGGTGTCTGCATAATGATGAGTGATCTGCCTGCCTTGAAGTATTCGTCTTATAATCTTATTTGAATACAGTGGTCAAATATTAGGACTTACTTTTCTTTTTCGTAAAATTAGAAGAAAAACACGTGAAACAAATGTTGACCATTGTTTCGTAGCATTTTTATGTTAGGCCATTTTTTATCAACCTTCATCCTAGCCATTTGTAATGTTTACACATGCCTGCGGATGCTCCTTCTATACATTTAGTATCATCAGTGTTCAGTGTTTAGAAGGGTGTGGGAAGGTCAGTTTGAAGACACTACATGAACAGCTGCTCTGAGGGCTGATTGATAACTTGGTACATTGTGAAGTCATGAAACTATAATCATCAGGCAAGTAATACTGCTATTAATGATTCCACCCCTAATTATTCTATAAGTTCTGTACGTCATTTCATATTGGTTATGGCATTTAATTTTCTGTCCTGAGAATGCCTTCTTTGTTAGCACAAATCTGGCATAATCATTTTTTTTACATTAAAAACATCTGAGGAAACCTGTCTCTATTATTCTCTGCACCCAGGGCTGTTTAGATAGTTGCTGTGTCTGGTAAAAAACAGTTTGCCAGTGCCACCAAAATCTGGAAACCAGTGATCCTTTCATTATTGCTTTCAGACTTTGGAATTTCCAGTTCTCTGGCTCTGGGTTCATAGGCAACTTCTCTGCCTCTCTTCCTAAGCAGAAATGCTAAGTCAGATGCTACTAGTCTACCCCTTTGCTTAAGTAGCCACGTATTACACTAGGGGTGTCGAACTCAATCAGAGAAGGGGCCAAAATCTAAAATCCAGCCTAATTCGCGGGCCGAATGGTTTACTGAACAGTCATAAACTGTCATTGTGATGGAAACGCAGCGGAGTGCAGTGATGACAGCGTGGTGCGGGCCACATTGCAAGGCCTGGCGGGACGGATTTGGCCCGAGGGCCTTGTGTTTGACACATGTGTATTACACTGTTCATCTTGTCTGCCACAGTACAAAAGCTGTGTTTGCAAAAGGCATGTTACTTCGTTCTCCTATTATTGTTTTTACTAGAGGCCTGGTGCACAGGATTTGTGCAATGGTGGGAGTGTATCTTGTGGGAATTGGCCCACTGTGGGAGCTCTGCTCATCCCAGTTAGCCAAGCAGCACTTCCACTATGAGAGCTCACTGACCACAAGGGCAGCTCCTGCATTGAGCGTCTGCCCCCTGGTGGTCAGTGCACATCACAGCTACTGGTCGAGTGGTCATTCTGGTTGTTCCACCATTCAGTCGCTGAGCTTTTATTATAGTAGGATATCCTAGAAAAAGGCTTAGATGACATAGCAGCCCTTAGAAAAAGAGGCTGTTAACCTTTGACAGCTTATTACATCTGTGATTATTATCTGTATAATGTTCAGGTACCTGCCCATGTCTAGATTTTGAGTTTAATGAGGACCTTGTCATCCTCATCAAAATACTAGATACCTATTACTAAATCATTATACACATTTCTTACTACTCACCTTGTGTCTTTTTACAGAATTCAACAAGCCCACCACTTAAACTCTCAAACGTGGAACGAATTACAAACGTACAAATTTTGATTTTGTTTTGTATCTTAATCGCCATGTCCCTTATCTGTTCTGTGGGCTCGGCCATCTGGAACCGACGGCATTCTGGAAAGGACTGGTATCTCAACCTCAGTTGTAAGCATGAAAGTGCTGGACACTTTCTCTTTCATTAAAACGTGTGCCGGTGTTTGTTTCACAGCTACCTTGGGATTTCCTGTGATTCCTGAAAGGAGAACATTGTGACCAAGATACCTGGGCATTTAGTCTTCACTTTTCAATGTGATTTTCAGTAAAAATAAAAAGTTAGAATCTCTAAATTTTCAGGATCCTTAACAATAAAATGAGCACTTCACAGTAACATAAAATGTAATTTTATTCATGTTATTCTCATTGATGTTATTCGTTTGTTTTAGAATATTTTAATGCAAGTAGTTAGACGGCTGTCTGGTAAAGAAAGCAGACAGTATATTTAAAGCATCAAAAGTAGTTGACACGTTTTTAACATGTTTACATTGAATGTACTTTCACTTGAACTCCTCAGTGCAGTGAGTTCTGTGTTATCTGTCACGTTATCTGAGAGCACGTGCTGTTAGATTCCTTTGGAGTATTTATTCTCTATTTTATGGGATGAAGGCACCTCCCCTTTAATTTCTGGAAAGTAAGTTAATAGGGCCTTTTGATGAGTCCTTGACCAACAAATACTTAATTTTCAAAGGTGTAAAGACATTCTAGGAAAATCTTTATGGCAACATTGATTTTTTTCAATTATATTTTTATTATATTGATTTAGCTTGGCAGCTACTCCAAGTTTTTGTTGTGGGTTTTTTTTAGTCATTGGTTTACTATTTCAACTTTAAAACCATTGCGACTACCATCAATTTGTTTCTTTGTATACATTACAGTGTAGCTGGGATGACTGTTTTATTTTCATTATTGAAGATGAAGACTTTAATTTAACTAGAGCTGAGTTAATCTAGGATCCTGCCCTACCATTGGTTTTGCTGTCTGGGTTAGTTTTGCTGGTGCTGTTTTGTTTGTTTGCTTTTAAGGCATGCTTTAAATTGGAAGCACTTTCCAAAAGCTTATTCAAAAGTGGTTCTGCCCAGTTAAGATTTTTCATTTATAAACCCTCAGTCCTGTCCCTAATATCTCTAAACTTTGTGCTTGAAACAGAATTTGAAATGCTTGACAGTACTTTTACTTTTTAGTATCATGCATGTCTTAATGGGATTAATTAATATATTGTACACAAATAATGCTCTTCTATCTTGAAGAATGCTTTTTGAGAATTAGGTTAAGTTATCAGCACAGTATTCCTCCCAAACTATCAAGATATACTGTACTTTATGAGAAACTTTTGTTATGCTTAAAGTTCTGATCAAAATAACATATATAAACCCATAAATGTTTTTCTTCCCACCTTCCCCAACAGATGGTGGCGCTAATAATTTTGGACTGAATTTCCTGACCTTCATCATCCTTTTCAACAATCTCATTCCTATCAGCTTATTGGTTACATTGGAAGTGGTGAAATTTACCCAGGCATACTTCATCAATTGGGTAAATACTAATGATTATTGTTTCTTATCACTCAAAACATATCTTTTCCTGATAGGATCTTTTGATTTCTTTGGAGGGGAAAAAAAAAATCTTAATTATATCTTACCTTTTGTTGACTACAAGGTAATATTTCAAAATATTTTAAGCCTAATACAATTGTAATAAGGTTATTTGATGTGTGAAAATTAGTAACAAAATCTCTCATCTCAATATCACCCAAGTTTATGGACCAGACATCTGCAAAAAGTAGGTCTCTAGTTCAAGAAAACTATTTTGTTTTTTTAAATATATTTTATTGATTTTTTACAGAGAGGAAGGGAGAGAGATAAAGAGCTAGAAACGTTGATGAGAGAGAAACATCGACCAGCTGCCTCTTGCACACCCACTACTGGGGATGTGCCCGCATCCAAGGTACATGCCCTTGACCGGAATCAAACCCGGGATCCTTCGGTCCACAGGCTGACGCTCTCTCCACTGAGCCAAACCAGTTTCGACAAGAAACCTATTTTGCCTTATATAGTGGGCTTGGGGAAAAGAAAATCAGGGGGTTTGGAGTTAAAATATTCTCGTTCTACAATTTACTAGCTGTGGAGCTTTGGCAAGCCACTCGACTTCTTTGAGCCATATTTCCTTGGACACTCACGTAGGAATGATAAATGGAGCTTACCTGCTTCTCCCAGTGGTTCTATAAATCCCAGAAATCTCACAACATAGCGGACAGCTTTGTAAACAATTGAGCACTATAAAAATAATACTGTATGCACTTCTTGTAGCAGCCAGGGCTCCTGCCATGTTTTACACATTATAGAGTTTATGCTACCACACTATAAACAATTTCAGCTGCACTTGAATTCTTCCTCCTCTTTTTTCCCCCCCTTCAATATTGTTTTAAATCTTGGGAAAATGTGCTGGACATCTGTTTCCTAAATGCTTTATTTAATACATTGCTCTTCCTCTGTTTTATTTTTACCAAACTTAAAATTAATGTAATTAATTTATGTAAATTAAATTAATATCCAGGCCTGGCATGCCTGAAAGTTTAATTTTTCTTTTATTTTGAGGAATTGTGGTGTTATCTTTTGATGTTTCTTTTTAAATAGCTTTAAAGTCTTTCTACTGGAACAATATTAGAATTTTTAAAAATATAACTGATGCTGCTTTTGTAACTGCTCATTATCTTCCTATGGTAAATGATCCACCTCAGCTGTCAGTCTCTTAATTCATTGGTAAAAGATCCATATAAATTTAGGATGAGCTGCAAGCATAGCTCACTTCATGCAGGAGATACATAACCAAAAATATTCTGTAATGTAATAAAGTTTGTACAAATACGTTTAAAACTTATTGAAGGTTTTCCACTTATAATCAGAAGTAATAAAGTTGTGAATATCAAATCAAATAACTAGTCAATTCCATTGCTATTTTATTTGGATTTTCAAAAATAATATTTGCTTGAAATAAGTACATAATTTTAGTGGTGGGTGACCCCAGCAGACCTTTCAACCACCTTTCTGATACAGAGATTTTTTAACCTTTCTGACGGAAGAGATATCTCTCTCCAGCAGCTTATTCTTTGTGTGGAAATAAGATTAGTAGCTGCCTCATTTTGATCCTGGTTCTGCTCAGATCTTTCAAGAAAATTGTCTCATCCTGTTTCCAAATACTAGCTTTCTAAAACATTTGAAATTGACTGTCATGCCAATTCTGTTATCATTTCCCCTCTCCCCATTTAATGTTCTCCATCTTCTTCGGTTCTTCATTTCATTTGATTTCCAACTTCCTCCCCCTTCCAATCACTCCTCTCCAAACATTGCCCCATTGTTTAATTTCCCTCTTCAATCATGGCACCCACAACTCAACAACCTACTCCAGGAATGTCATTGAGCAGTCTGAAATGCAGAAGGGGTCAGGTTTCACCTTTTCATATGACATGTGAAAATCAGTCAACTCTGATCATTAAAATGTTCTGCTATAAAGAATATTAAATTTTATGGGATTAGGAGTCAAAACTCATATTTCTTGGGTGCAAAGCAAGAACAAATTGGTGTGTAAACTATACGTTTCTCTTTGGGTTTTGAGAATGCACTCTTTTTGCTTTCAAGTGCATATCATGTAAGAAACTTAGCCAAGAAAGTACAATTGGATAGAATCCAGTAGGTCATTTTCCCAGGGGTGTGAAGTTGTACTTATTGTATCAATATTTAGTTGCTGTGATTTTAGCTCACATTAAGCACTTACTTTGTGTCAGACCCCATAGGAAGCACATACATTATCTAACATACATTATCTTGCTTAATCTTTACAGTCAGTCTGATATCCAGAGACATGCTCTACCCGTCACATTGCTCTGCCTTTACTGTGATTCTAGATTGAGCACTGTTCAGGGAAATCAACTGAAATGGTATAGGGATGGCAAAAGCTGCGAGTGATTATGTACACAGCTTACCAATTAAAATGAAATTTCACTCAGTGTCTTATGACTAGTTGTACTCACGGATTTATTTTATTTTTAAAAAGGATCTCGACATGCACTATGAGCCCACAGACACTGCTGCTATGGCTCGGACCTCTAACCTGAATGAGGAGCTCGGCCAGGTAAATGGTATTTCTCGTTTATGTGTTGACGTGGAAGTCAGATTCTTTGTGATTTGGAAATGCAGAAGGCAACCATTAATGTTTGTGGCAACTACTTCGTATGAATTGACAGTTCCTAATTTGCTATTACTTGAATAATCACATAAATACATATTAGTACACAACCATTAATTTTCATTTATAGTAAATGAAGTTGTAAATGCATTTAAAGCATATTTTGCTCTCAAATAAGGTATTGTACTGAGAGGTGTCCTTCAGTATATAATCCGACTAGTAGTAAAGTATTGGCAATTTTTGCGTTATAAACTCTCAGTTTAAAAATTGTCCATAGCTTTTGACCGGAAGGGAAGAAAAAGGTTAAATTCATCAATGAAGCTATGTAAATTGAGCAACAGGAATAGTAGTCAAAGGAATTTTAGATTTACAATTCATACAGTATTCACACACGTGTATATCTGTCATCCATTTATCCAAACAAGGTGGGGCAAAAGTAAGTTTACAGTTTTACAGTGGTGAGTACACGACGTACAGAGTCTATTCTTACATAATTATTTATCCGTTGTTGTATTGTTTTCTGTATAAACAACTATAAACCCACTTTGCCCCACCCTGTACTGGCTAAGAAAAGATTCTTTTTTTTTTTTGGCGCTGGCCAGTTGCTAACTCTTATTTTTCAAATAGCATTTAGACCAGAATCAGCCTTTTCCTTACCATGTCAGATGTTGTATGAAGTTCATTGCAGAAGCAAATGCCTGTTCTTCGATTATGTGGAGAAATGCTGGGAGAGGTTTTAGTGCCCCATAAATGTTAAGTAGCAGTAAATGCACTTTCTGGTGGAAATTCATTCCACATCGAGGCAGATTTCTGTTTGACCGTCGTTTCTCTAATACCTTGAGGGTCAAACATGAAATGGTTTACTGTTCCAATACTAAACCAATATAGTTGAACATATTCCTTTACATGTTATAAGAAGTCCACTAATAGCATTCCATTGTGCCCCTACAATGTAACAGAATTGATAAAAAGAATTTGAGGTTTTTTTCCCCCCCTCTCTGTAGGAGACTGGCATAAAAAGACTTCTGAAATTTTAGTGAGACCTTTTAAACTCTCTCTCTTTTTTTTTTTTTTTTAGGTAAAATACATCTTTTCTGACAAAACTGGAACTCTGACATGCAATGTGATGCAGTTTAAGAAGTGCACCATAGCTGGGGTTGCTTATGGGTAAGTTTTTCCTCTTTAAATAGAATATGAAATACAACTTAATTAGTGCTAGCAATTTGGTACATTTTGAGAGTTCTTTTAGTGGAGATTTTTTTTTTTTTTTTAATCTGGAAAGCAGCAGTTTTACTTTCAACAGACATGTATGTGTTGTGTTTTATATTTGGAACCACCTCTGCCTGATACCATTTCAATGTTTAGAGCTGCTCACAGTCTCTACCTGGTACAAACACCGCTCCCTCTGTGTTGTTGTTAAGTTAGGGTACAGCTGGCACCTGGTAGGAGCATGTAGTCTGGTGGCCTTGGGCACTTTTTTTTTTTTAATATATTTTATTGATTTTGTACAGAGAGGAAGAGAGAGAGATAGAGAGTTAGAAACATCGATGAGAGAGAGTCGTCAATCAGCTGCCTCTTGCACACCCTCTACTGGGGATATGCCCGCAACCAAGGTACATGCCCTTGACTGGAATCGAACCCGGGACCTTTCAGTCCCCAAGCCGACGCTCTATCCATTGAGCCAAACCGGTTTCAGCAAGGCCTTGGGCACTTTTCAAGTTAAACCTTATTCTTGTTTCTCTGATAACTTGTCCTTTTGATTTGTTTTTTTTGTTTTTTTCTTTTATCATCTCTCCTCTTTTCAGTCACAGAACAATTTACATTTCTGGTGATGGAAAGGAAGTAGGGACATGAACTTCTTAAACCCAGGGAAGAATTAATGAGTATCAGCAAAAACTTTTATCAGGAGGTTAATGTCTCTTTGCATGTGCTGTTGAACACTCATTGTTTTCTCATCCCCAGGTATGCCTACCTGAGCTGTTCAAAATCCTTGTTTTCTTTTTAATATGGCTTTTTTACATTGAATTTTAGAGAGAGAGAAAGTGAGAGGGAGAGAGAGAGAAAAAAAAACAAAAACGCAAAATATTGATGCAGGCATTCCACACCACCCTAGCCGCTCCAGGCCTCTGGGCAGCATGGGAAGGCGGAAAGGAGGCTCCGGGCCATAGTGTAAAGGTGGGAGCGAAGGCGGTGCCAGCCGCCAGGGGAAGGGAGGCCCATTCTTGCACGCATCTTCATGTATCAGGCCTCTCCTGTGACTATAAAAGGCTTCTAAACTCTTCAGCTAAAAAGACATTTGATTGAATGGTTTTTCCACGTCATAGAGACAGGCTGTTCATTTGAGAAGCATGTTTATGTTTCTGGGCTTAGGTGCCATGGTGCATCTTTCCTCTTGACCTGAAGATCTGCTAATTCTCTTAGACCGAAAGGCCTCTCTTCACCCCAACCCCGAACTTACTTCTGGCCTCACTGTTTGGTCAGCCATGGAAGCAGGAAAGAGAGGTGCAGCCATGCTTTTAACATTGTGTGTGTGAGACCCACAGTAGTCACACGAGAGAAGGAAAGACCTGTCAAGATTCAAGAGTTTGTTGTATGATACTTGCTGACAGACTTATGGTAATGTTGGTTTTTATACAAATTCTGCATCCATCCTGAAATGCGATTATTAGAATTACCTGTTTGATAATTGGCATCCTTTTTTACTTTGTCCATTTTCCAATTGAAGAAGCGATTCAAAATAGTAATTATTGATGGTGAGTTTCTCAAAGCAGAAAGCTAGAATGGTCTGTAGGTATACTCTTTCCATCTGCATTTTATTAGGTTGGTTATTTGTTTGTTTAATTCTTGGAACAGGTCCTTCAGCACTTGCAGGTAGTAGTTCTGTAGAGCAGTGTTCTTCCTGTGTCTGCTGATGATGTTGTCATTAACTGTACATGGCAGAGTGGGGTTGAGACTGGTAAATATTAAAGTAGTATTCGCGTTCAGAATTATCCTCATTTAGATTTTAGATTAAGTTTTCAGTGAAACAAATTTCCTCTTTGGGAAAATAACCTCTCAATATCAAAATAACTCATAACACATGAGTTCTAGTTGTACCTTTGTTACTAATTCACTGTGACCCTGGAGAATTCCTTTCAAATATTCCAAACCCTTTAAAAATGAAGGTGGTGAGAGCAGGTGATTTCCCCCCATCCCCCCAGAGTTTGGAGCAAGGAAATATTTATTGCTTAAGGTTTAAGGCCTGGCTCAAGAAGATCAGAAAAGTAATTCTCAAATTCATCCTGAGAGAGTTCAAAATTCAGGAGCTTTAGATATGAAGGGAAGGAAGAATGGGTGAGGGGAAGAGGTTGGTGGGGACTGTGGACAGCAAAGGCATCTAAATCCTTCTGTTCCTCCACAGATCCGAGTTCGGTTCTGGAATTATTAAAAAGCAGGTGATCTTTAAGGTGTTTTTGCCTCGGTATAAAATTCTAACATATTTAGAAAATTTTTATAAAAGGTGTTTCTTTGTTTGCAAATTTTAACTATATACACAGAAATATGTTTCTTTTTCCAGTGTTGCATCATGCTTTCAAGAATACCTAAAGCCTTGTTGAGTGAGGCCAGTTGTTCAACTGCTTCCAATAACCATGTATGGGTTGTATATGTGCTTTTAGGATCCTTCACCCTGACTGAGTTTTTAATAACATCCTCTCCTCCAAACAGCCTGATGGTCAGGCAGTAGGAGCATCAGCCTTGTGGAGAGTTGTTAATAGCTGAAGGCTTTAGAGCACATGTGTCAAACACAAGGCCCTCGGGCCAAATCCGTCCCGCCAGGCCTTGCAATGTGGCCCGCACCACGCTGTCATCACTGCACTCCGCTGCGTTTCCATCACAATGACAGTTTATGACTGTTCAGTAAACCATTCGGCCCGCGATTTAGGCTGGATTTTAGATTTTGGCCCCTTCTCTAATTGAGTTCGACACCCCTACTTTAGAGTAACCGTTAACTTACGTCCACCAAACGCCACAGGAAAAAGTAATTACTGTCAGCCGCCTCTCTGTGGGAACGGCTTGGGTGATGGGAGTCCGGACAGGGAAATAACGCACTTCCATGACCCCACGTGCCCTGCAGTGGTGTCTAACGCTTGTAACACGGGGAACTGTTAGATAGGCGCACTTCCGGCTCCCACAGAAGGAAGCATGGTGTGTGCCCCTCCAGGATGTGGCAGAATAAAGGAAAATAACGGTCTTGCACATACTAACAAATGCCTTTGGGGCTACAGTTTCAGAGCTGGTGTTTTTTCAGCATTTTTAAGCAGTGAGGGAAAGCCTCACTTAGGTAGAACCAATGGTCAGTTGTTTTGCTTTTATCTGGTTCAAGGGCAAGTCAAAGTCTCTTGATAGTATAATCTTTACCTAGTTCTGTGTATTCCATAGGTTTGTTAGAAGATACTATTTAACACTTAAAACAATGCTTCAAAAATTACTCTTGATTAATTTAATTCTCATTTCACTTGAATTTTGCTCCAAATTGGATTCATGGTGGGTAATGACATAAAAATATTTGTACGCCCTAGCCAGTTTTGCTCAGTGAGTAGAGCATTGGCCTGTGGACTGAAGGCATTCCAGGTTTGATTCTGGCCTTGGTTGCAGTGTTGGGCAGCCAATCAATGATTCCCTCTTATCATTGATGTTTCAATCTCTCCCCTCTCCCTTTCTCTCTGAAATCAATAAATATATATTTTAAAAAATAAAAATATTTGTACAATGAAATAAAAAATGTTGCCCCCATCCGAATTAAAACCCACAAATGTGTCTTTCTGTTCACGTGACTAGAGGTGAAAGCTGGGTAAACACCATGAATTTCTCTATTTGCCTTCCTAGGTGAATGCTAATCTCCTGCTAAGTATGAGGCACCGTTAGATAATGGGTCTGTAAGGGTCAGCAAAAGTTCACAGGGTTCCTGCCCCCTAGAGTTGATAGCCTAATTGGGGGTTAACAGCTGTTGATTTAGCAATCATACAGACCATTAGAACACAGTACAAAGGTCTATGGGAGTCTGCGATGGGGGGTTGATGTAATCAGGGAGGTCAGGGACCACTCCCTGAGAAAGCGATACTTGAGATCTAAGACGGAGTCTGATTCAGTGAAGAGCTTACCAGGCAGATGGAACAGCCCTGACCAGATGTGCAAACAAAGGCGAAGGAATCATCAGACCGTGCAGACACACCAGCACTACCGGAGCTGCGATTACAGGAAACTCCTGCAGACGGAATCAATAGCAGCGTGTGGGCGGCCTGCTGCTCACCACACTGCACAGTGCTCAGCATCTACCAGGGCGGGCCAGGGGGGCGGGGGGCCCTGAGCCTGGAGGGCTGTGGTGTTGAAGCTGCCTGACTTGAGAAGTAGGACAGGTGTGTGAGATCAGGGGCTGCTGGGCAACACCGGTGCAACCTGACACAACCTTGGACAGTGTGGCTTCTTGGGTAGCACACCCCCTGCCCCTGCCTCGTACAGTCTGGAGTCTAAGCCTTGAGGTTGGTCAGAAGCGATTGCCTTGGACTCTGCAGTGTTCACTGCCATTGCCTTTTCTGGGAGTCCTGCCCACAAGGGGCTAGGTTAGTTCTTCCTCTCAGGCCCTACAAAAGTCCTTTGGTAGGAGAGAATGCTGAGTGAGTAGAAGGGACTGCCCCCTTGTGGTTGGAGTGGCTACTGCACTGAGGCAGCTCAGCGCCTTGGAGGTGGAAGAGGTGCTCTGATTGACAGGGCCAGTTTGGTGAAGGGAGAGAGAGTGGGGTGGTCACTTAGGGAGTGAGAGGTCCCAGGGAAGTTAATCGTACATTTCTCAAAAGTAACAAACATTTTACATTGGTCCTGAACTCTGCATTTTTAAAAAGTTTACCTATACCTCATAGATTTAATTTACAGGAAAAATATTGAACTCCGTTTGTTTTTGTTTTTAACAAAAGAAATGGGAGATAAAATCTGCTCTAGTTGCTAAGAGAGTAAATCTTAAATGTTTTTGCCACAAAAAAAGAAATGATAATCGTGTGAGGTGACGGGGATGTTCACTACGGCTATTGTGGTAATTGTTTTGCAGTATATAGATGTATCAAACAAACACATGATACATCTTAACCTTACACTGGTATATGTCTATTCTATCTCAGGAAAACTAGGGGAAAATGACCAATAAAAGTGAAATTTTATAAATACATGCATACATAAGAGAAAATCTGCTCTGTGGTGTGTTCTGGGCCACTTTTGACAGAATTTATGACTGGCCGGTTAAAGTAAAAGCTATACATCCATCCCATGTCCCTAGTGCTCACCTGAGCTAATTAATAGAGGAAATTAAGTATTCATGTACGTGATTCTTGTTTGAGGTACCAAATGGTTTAATAACTGAATTATGATATAAGTGGAGTTTTTGAGAAAAATCTTAAAATGTGGTTCTATTTCATTTATATAAATGTAACTAATTTATTTTACCTGCTTAATGAACCATCACCTCATGAATGTCCGATTTACTTCTAAAATATATGTGGTGAACTTCACCGGTGTGGTTGTTTGTTCCTAGGTATTAGCATGTTTGTTTCATTAAAACACTTGATTCTGATTATACAGTATGTGATTGAGTTTCCATTGGCTTTGTCGTTAAACCGCTAAGTTTAAATATTTCCTACCGAATCCTGGATATCAGTAAATCTCATGCTGAAGAGGCAAGGTAGCTATCCAGTTATAGAATAACTTTGTTAAACCTGCTTATTTGCCATAAATGATCATTCTACTTACTATACTAACTGCCATTCTTCCAGAATCTGCTAAAAATTCATTTTCTTAGCTTTTTGAAGATCCATCAGCCTTTCTGTGACTATTCTTCATCTCTTTCTGTCCCTCTCCTTGCTTTCTGAAGCCATGTCCCTGAGCCTGAGGATTATGGCTGCTCTCCTGATGAATGGTAAGCTCCACGGACCTTTTCTGTCTCACTGATTCCTTTAAAAGGCTTGCATTTTATTGTTTTGTTAGGCACATTTCACTACTGTTGAGAAAAGCATTACTGATCAGGTATGGTGGCATGCTGTAAAGTAGGTAGTTGTTGAAATTCATGAAATATCCTTGATTTCCTATTGAATAACCTTTAGTCACTTTATAGACATTTAGTTTAAAGCTTAGGCTCGTCAAAGTTTTATAGTGTGTATCGGCAATAAAGTCTGGAATAACCCACTTGGGGCCCTGCGCTGTGAACTCGCTAAGATTTCAGTTACAGCTCCAGAAACTCCGTTTTTTAGCTCAGTATTGCCACCTTCTGCCGCTATGCACGGACTCAGCTGAGCTACAGAAACATGCTCCCAGAACATACCCAAGAAGTGACGTCTCCTGTACATTTCTTTTCATTCATTTATTAAATCTCTTTGGGAACTAGAAAATGGACTTTTTAAAAATCAAATGTCTGGAATAAATGATGAAAGACTATGCTACAAGGACTAGAGTTAAATGGGATGTAATTAATTTTACAATTATTAAAGATGGCATTTTACAGGTTTAATTTCAATATTTTGGGTTGTTTGTTTTTTTTTACTTTGAAAATCCCTCCTCCAAAAACAATAGTAAAATTAAAAAATAAAATAAAATCCCTCCTTCATGAATTTATATTTTCATTTAGAGTTGTATAAGTTGATATGTTGATATTTCTATAATTCATCATGATTTCATGGCAAATGAAATTTCAAGAAACAGGTTTCTTTAGTGCTGGTAATTGTGGAAAATATTGCGGCTTTATAAGTGGCTACATTTTTATTTTCAGGTTGTGCATGTTTTGTATGATTAAATCACATTTCTAATATGTATGGAAGTCCAAAAACATCATTTAATATTATTCAACTTAGATTTTATTTCAGTACAGTAGATGTTTGGTAACGATTTGCAGTAAAACTCCTAATACCTAGGGGTTAATGACAGGCAGTTGTTTGGTTCATGTGATAATTGATGAGTCATCTCATTTCAGCTCATTGCTTGGAATGTCATGCATTTGGACACCTACACACAACTGAATAATTTTTAAAAATATGCCAGAGCATCTTACTGTTGGTGGATAATTCGAGTTTAATAGTGTAGATATTCTCTTTCATTTAACATTTTGATAATATAGTTAAAATGTTGAGTATATTTTTTATTTGTTGTTTTTCTATAACATCAAATAATTCTGTTAGGCCCTGCCATGTCATACCAATATGCCAAGGTTTCAGGTTCAATTTCCCATCGGGGCACACACAAGAAGCAACGAATAAACATCTAAATACGTGGGACAACAAATTGATGTTCCTCTTTCTCTCTTCCTTCCTCCCTCCCTCTCTCTATCAAATCAATAAATAAAAATTTTAAAAATCTATTAATTTTTTTATTGTTAATCCTCAGTCAAGGATATTTTTGCTGTTGCTTTTCAGAGAGAAGGGAGGCAGAGCAGGGGAGAAAGAGAGAGAAACATCGATGTGAGAGAGACACATGAATTGTTTGTCTCCTGGAAGCGCCCTGACCACCCCAACCAGCGGGAAGGGAGCAAACCTGCCATCCAGGCCGGAAGAGACACTGTGCAACTTGTTCCAGGGCACCCATGTGATCAGGGAGTTGAACCCGGGACCCTTTGGTGTTCAGACCGATGGATGCTCCAACCACTGAGAACACCTGCCAGGGCCATTCTATTCATTTTAAACACCACTCCTTAATATGGAATTAGGGCACATTTCTCTTAAGATAACTCACTTATTCGTAAAAGAAGGGATTTGCCTTTACCATATTTTAATTAAAACTGAATGGAAATGCTAAAGATTGTTGTTTGTTTACTCATTTGTTTAAAAAATATCCTATTTTTTAAAGAGGTGATGTCATAACTGCTATCACTGTTAGAAAGAGAGGATGTTATTTTATCTAATTTAAGAGGATCTTTTTGTAGAACATCCTTTTGGAAAATTGAATACTTGACCTTCTAAGCTACGTAGCTCCAAATAAAAATGCCAGCTTTTTCATAAATTGTACATTTCCACTTGCAGTTACATATAAATTTATATATTTGTAATATTTTTTTAAAAATAAATACTTAGGGATGACATTTGCCGCTTTTATAATTAAACTAGAGTCCCGATGCCCAAAATTCATGCCTTCCCTCGCCTGCTGGCACCGGCTTCCCTCCGGCACCCGGAACCTGGGCTTCCCGCCAGCCGCCCGCAGGCGCCTGGGACCCAGGCTTCCCTCACAGCCCTCGACTGGAAGGTCACCCCGAAGGACGTCTGGTCTAATTATCATATTACCTTTAATTATTATAGATAAGCTTTATTTAAATATATCCTGGGTTTCCCATCTATCAAAACGATGTGGGCCTGCAAAGATGAAGGAACAGATACTGGCTGAGCTTATGTTGTGTCTCAGTCCTGTGCAGGGTAGGGTCAAGGAGGCAGACTCCGACTTCTGACCGCCCACGTTCACATCCTGCGCCTATTGGGGCCCCTGCACAAGGTGCACAATCATCTTCCTGCCCGTCCTCACCTGGTGGAACGTGGACTTCACAGGGAGGTTGTAAGGATTAGTGAGTTCTGATTGCAAGGGGCGTAGAAGCGTCTTTGGACATGGAGCGCTCACAGGGAGTGTTAGCTCTGGTGTCTCTCATTAACCTCCGGACATATTTGAGGCGCTGTGATGGACATGACTCTTCTGAGGTTGGTGAAATTTAGGCAAGGAAGCCCCACACTATACAACCAGCAGACGTGGGAGCCTGGTTACCAAGTGGGAGCTGCTCACATTACATACACCCTATAGACTGTAAACAACTTCGGAAGAGAACTGCTTTTGCAGCACCAGAGGTCTCTGCTATTTGTCATGCTACTTTTTCTTCGCTTCTTGTTTTGTTAAGGTGGGAAGAACGGGTGAAATTAAACTGCAGAAAAGTTAGTCTGGGGACATCAGTTTTGCACGTTCATAAAGCTGGCATTCACCCCACCTCATCCGATTGGTTTCATGTTGCCAGTGACACCAATACCAAAAGTGTGGTCCTGGTTGAATCCTGTGCTCCAGGCACCTGACCATGTCTTTAAATGGCTGGTCTGCAGGGGAAAGCTAGAGTGTGATGACTGCATAAGTCCAGAATCTGGAAGTACATTCCTGTCTGTCAGCGACTTAACATTTCAATGTGAAGTTCATTGAATTCCATGTTTAAAACCTGTGTCTGCATGCATTTTACTGCCCTACTGTATTTACCACAAAAATGTTAAGTTTAAAAAAAAAACAAACACCAAACATAATATTTAACATTTAAATGTGTTTAGATTTTTTCCATTTAGTTGAATTTAAAGGCAAACCTAGGATGTAGTAACCCTTTCATTAAAGATAATTGGATGATGGCTGAAGCTCTACTTGCTTATATATATATTAATATAAATAGTTTAGAGAGAGAAAATCTAATAGATAAGCTTTATTTAAATATATCCTGGGTTTCCCATCTATCAAAATGATGTGGGCCTGCAAAGATGAAGGAACAGATACTGGCTGAGCTTATGTTGTGTCTCAGTCCTGTGCAGGGTAGGGTCAAGGAGGCAGACTCCGACTTCTGACCACCCATTGCCTAGCCACTTCAAAATTAGTGTGATTTTGTTGTTATTGCCAACTACCATAAACTATCATATAACCTTATGGATTAGTTCTTTCTATAAAAAAAAATTTACCATTGCAGGGAAAAATAATCTGCTTATTGTCAACATTCATGTAGCCCTAAGATATGGCTATTTTCCAAAACTATATATTTCCATACCCATTTTTTCTAGTGCTTATTGTGGAGAAATTCAAGCATAGACAAAAGTATTCATCAACTCACTTCAATAATAAGCGCTCACTACCAATTTCAATTAATGTATACCTTTTCCTCACTATTATTTTGAAGTAAATTTCAGATAACATATTTATTTCTTTTTTTTAATATTGTTTTACTAAGACTTATCCATATTGTTGCCTAGAGCTAAAATTTGTCCATTTTAAAAATATATATTTTATTGATTTTTCACAGAGAGGAAGAGAGAGGGATAGAGAGTTAGAAACATCGATGAGAGAGAATCATCTATCAGCTGCCTCTTGCACACCCACTACTGGGGATGTGCCTGCAACCAAGGTACATGCCCTTGCCCGGATTCGAACCCGGGACCTTTCATCCACAGGCCGACACTCTATCCACTGAGCAAAACCGGTCCCGGCCATATTTATTTCTTAACTATTTCATATAGCTCCATATTATTCTTTCTGGTAAGTTTTTTTTTTTTTTTTACATTAATGCTAGTGAGGGTTAATTCTCCAGAAAAAAATTACCTTAAAGTGTTCTGTGCTTAGTCATTTCACAGTGATTTTTGGTATTATCATAATATGATTGGATAGTGTCTGGTCTCCTTTATTTTCTCATTTCATTCTGTATGTAATTATGGATGGGATGAGTGGCGTTTCTTTACTCTGCTAGGCTCTCTGAAACAATCTCCCGGGTGTGACTGCATCATAACGCGGTATATGCGACCAAGTCAGTGTTAGTCTTCAATGTGACAGGTGATTTAGGTATTCCAGTGAGGTGGCTGTTTCATAGGATGTCTGGGAGCTCCTCTTTTGTAATTGCCTTGGGAATTACTACAGTCATGTGGAAAAGCAGGCCTCATCACCAATGGCCAACAAAAATATTATTGAATTTGATCACTTGCTTATCATCTTGAACTTTACTGGACCTGACTCTGAATAACAAATTTATTTCTAAAAATTAAGCCTTCTTTTGAGGAATTTTGATTTGGAACCAATAGCACCATTCAAAAGCAGGACATACACTTCTATTTAATAAAATGCTTTGCAATCACACTGCCTTTCGTCTTCCTGTGTGTGCATGTGTGTAATATGTGCAAGTGTATAATGTACACATTTAGTTTACATGTGGGGTGTGTGTATATTTCAGATGGCTGACATAGATTTTGTTCTTGTGTGTGTGTTTTTTTAATTTAAGTTTGATTTATGTTTTAAGTTCATAATGCTTTAACATGTTACAGAGGGAGAGGTTTTCCTCCGTTCCCTGTCTTGGAGCCCTCCATTTCCCCTCCTGAAGGAGCCAGTGGAACCAATTTTAGCTCTATTCTTCCAGATCTGTACAAACATGTACAATATTTTTTTCTCACATTTTGATAGAGAGTGAGGGATACTGCACAGTTTTGTACCAGCTTTCTTTTGGCTCTGCATTCTTGAGATTTGTCCATATTCCATGGATAGCTACCCATTTTTTGTATAGTATTCTATTATGTGTATGTACCAAATTTTTTAAAGCAACATCCCTGATGGAATTTGAGTTATTTTAATCCTTTGCTATTAAAAATGTGATGCAAAAAAAAAAAAAATGAATACATGCAACATTTTGCTCCAGGCAGATCATTAGTATAAATTCCCAGAACTGGGATGACCGGATCAAAGGATACATGCATTTTTAATGTTGACAGAAATTGCCCATTTGCCCTGTGGAAATGGAACCAATTTTCATCATCGATGAGACATGATTTAACTTTTTCCATAATCACAAAGGCACAGGACTGTCAAACTTTTATTTCTGTCAAATATGAATTTCATTTCTCTCATTATATTTAAAGGCTGAACTTAAAATATGCTTAAAGCCAATTGTATTTCCTTCTGTATGAGCTGTGTTTATATTCTTTGCTCGTTGTTCCATTGTATTGTTGATCTTTTTCTTATTGATTTCTGAGTGCTTTCGGTTTTATGAAAATTAGCCTTCCATATGTGAGTTGGAAATAATTTTCCCCAGTTTGTTGTTTTTAGCTTGTGACTTTGTAGTGTTTTTGCTCTGCAGAAATGTTTTAGCTTTATGCAGTCAGATTTATCTGTTTTATTTTCTGAACTATATATGATAGATGTTTATGTATTTCCTACTTTTTATTTTTTAAATTGTCCCATTCTTTGGTACTTTCATTAGATTGTTCATCCATCTGAAGTCTATTTTAGTTTAAGGTGAAAAGTGTAGGTCTAACTCTTTTTTTTTTCCTGATGACTTTCTTGTCAACATGAATTTTTAAAAATGTCATAATCCATGCTGTCCTATATGAAAATAGCTAATACCATATGCATTCTGAGTTTTCTGTTAACTTTTATTGCTCTGAGGACCCTCTGTTTTTGTATGATCAGGAAATAATCATTTATAAGGTATCATGGCTTTTAAATCAGGCTGCAAGAAGCAGCCAGTCATGTGATGTTGTAGGCTACCTGCTCATGGTGTCTTACTTAGTGTTCCATTCCCTCTCTTATTGCTTCTTGCAAAACACCATTATTTCTTTGTCTCCTGGTGAGAAAAATGCCACTTGAAGATTTCTATGGAAAAATTTAACTAAATCTTGATACTGACTTGCATTTTTATCTGTGAGCAGTTTGCAATCCACATAGTTTTGTCAAGTTACTGTTTAAAGTATTCCTTGAATTTATTGTGCAGTTTTTTATCATTTTTGAAGTGACATGCACTTCTTAGTTTTATCTGTTTACATTTACTAAAAGTGTTTGGTAAGATTTTGGAGAGGGGTGGTGAGAACACCATGGCTGCATTACCCATCCAGGCCATGCAATTAGCAGATGAGGTATTTATGGTTTATGGTCTTGGAAAGGAAGCCACTTTCTGGAAGAGTTCTTATGGAGCATTATCCCTGGTGAAGCCTTCATTGGTGGGTGGAAGATGGGATGTGTCCATGCAAATATTTCAACTGCATATCTGGTGTTATTTGCCGTAAATGCATTTGAAAGTTGTATCAGTTATGATGGCCTATGATTTATACAATGAAAGAATTACCAGTGAGATTAACTAGTTAACTGCCACGCGTCCAAAACAGAAACCATCCCCACACACCATAGACGCTTATGGCATACAAAGGGTTAACAGACATATCTTCAGATTTACAAGGTTTTCAGTCTGGAATTCTTTGAAAACAAAATAGACCTCCATTTGCAAGATGTTACTGTGAATGTTCCTTGACAATTCAATTTATCTAACAAATAAGTAGGAAAATATAACTAAGAACAATTAATGAATCGTTTAATAGTAGGAAGATTTTATGGAACTCTAAATAATAAGAACTGATAGTATTTGTAGTAGAATATGTGCTATTTTTTTTCTGTTTGCCTGTTAATAAGTCATTTAAAAGTCCTTGGATTTTTCTCTCCATCTTTAAAACTAGAGGAAGAGGAAAAACAATAATAATAATAATAATAATAATAATAATATATGCTTATTCTGCTTTCCAGGGTTGTTTTGAGAATTCTAAACTACTATATGTTAATAAAGATGTAATATAATTTTGAGAATTACCGTATTTTTCGGACCATAAGACGCTCCGGACCATAAGACGCACCAGTTTTTAGAGAAGGGAAATGAAGAAAAAAAGATTCTGAAACAAATAGTGTCCTAAAATATTTAATGTGCATTAAAACCCAACATCACAGTCATAAACACATGTAATCAACCCTGTAAAGTAAACAGCAGCATTTAGAACCATTTTAGAGCCGGGCAAGCACACAGAGACCACACAGAGCCGGGCAAGTAAAAAAACTTTTTTTTTTAAAGTATATGTGTAGGCTATATTTGGACCATAAGACGCAGGGACTTTTTCCCCCCACTTCTGGGGGGGAAAAAGTGTGTCTTATGGTCCAAAAAATACGGTAATAGACCATATACTACATGTAAATAAAGATGTATTTTATTATAAATGTTCTAACTTCCTTCTTTGGTTTTTGGAAAAATATGTTCATTGAGGGTATTGTATATGTACAATTATTTAAATTCTTTTTTCTTCAGTGATTTTTCCTTTTAAACTGCTGGTTTTAAAATTATGAAACTCTTGCTATTTGACACATTGACATTGATGATGCTCTTTGAAACCTTTAAAGATTGGGATTAAAAATTTTTGGGTTTACAGTCACTTAATATTGAGCATATCTTTTTTCTTAATGAACCAATTCTGAAATTTCCTTCAGTGCACAAAAGCTTAGATCTATAGATTTTCACTGAACATTGCGAAGTATCTCCTTTGGGTTTGACATTCCCAACTGCATGGTCCTTGTTCTTTTGAATTTTAACAGTTTTATATTACATTTCATTGCCAAGATTCATAATAGCTAGATTACGGAGGCCATTCTGACTCCATTTGTTTCTTCTGAAGTGCATGATGTGTGTGCTGACCTGAACATAGCCAAGCACAAAAGAATCCCATACACCTTTATGATTTTCCTCCTCAGTATACAGAACACATGTGATATGTATGTAAGCATATCAGGTATTTGTTAGTGATGATAAAATATATAGTTTATTCATATTTTTATATTTGATACGATAATCATGTAGTGTTAATTACTACAAGTAAAGATTTCTCCTAGGCTACGGTAAAAGTATTCATCAGTATTGATTTTAATAACTTTATCTCAGAATTCTTAAAACTTGAAAAAATTACAGAAGTAGAAGAAATTCAATTCCTGGTATTTTAGCAGTTTTGCTACATTTTTTTAAATTAAAATTTTAAAACTTCATTGGCTACAATATAATTTCACTCCAGGGAAATGAACTATAAAATACTATTTTCATTATGCTATAAAAATCTGTCATATTTTGCTATGCTTGAATATATTTTCTGATTTATTCATGAAATTTGTGATGCCTTATTCACTAATGACTCTATATGGTATTTATTAGGGGTTTGCAGGCATAGTGATTTATTTAAAAAGTTACAAACAGTTCAGTGAGCTGCTATAAATAAACCAGGTTTGCTCCTTTTTTCCCCCTGTAGGCAGAGCTCACAGTTTGGAGACGAAAAAACATTTAATGATTCATCATTACTGGAAAATCTCCAAAATAATCATGTAAGTGACATAAAATCATTTTATTCTAATTAGTGAATGAAAACTAAATGTTCATATCTGTAGTAATGAGCATTTCTCTGAATTATCTTCTCTGTTTATGTGGGGGTGTTTTAGTTTTGTGATTATTTTTAATAAATTTTGAAATCTGTTGCTAATATTTTTAACTTGGCCCACATGGTTCTTAGATAGTCAGTTTTCCTATTATCATTATCAATATTCTATCTTGTAACAATGTCTTATATTAAATAATATTAGAACCCTCTTTGTTTAAAAGAACTCACTATTAACCATTTCAAAATATCTGTAGAAATGAATTACCTGCTCAAAATGATAGGCCATTACCAACTATACACAGTAAGAACTATGGATATCTTTATCAACTCATTGACACTCACTAAAACTTCATCCGATTAAGTGGTAGGGTTTCCTGGCCTTTAAGCCCCAGAGCTTTTTCTCACAGTTGCTTGAATATGTGCACAGCATGCTCCCTCTGAAGTACGGATGAACCTACCACTTGTGCCTCTGGATGGTGCTCTTGTCATGTGTTTGCATGGCTATTTTTGTATCCTTTTTTCTTACGAGAGCCTACAACAGACTATTAGCTTCAGGATCCACAAAACCTAGACGTAGGCTTTTTCTTCCCTCTTGTTCCCCCAAGTTCAGTAACTTACACCACCACCTGTCTTAATTCTTCTTTCTAGGAACGTTAGGGTTGCTTTTGATACTAACTTGTCCCTCCATCTCCAGTCAATGGAGTCACCGAGTCCTTGTCAATACTGACTTCTAGAATATGTCTCAAACATCGTCTTTATTCTCTCATTCACTACCTGAGTCCAGAGGACCTGCATCCCATCCCCTGTGTGAATTACTGGAATGCCTCCTAACCGTTCTCCTTGGTTTCCTTTTCACTTCCTTCCAATTTTCGTTGCACAAGACAACTGCAGTGATGCAAGTGGAAATCAAGTCCCACCGCTTCCCTGTTCAAAACCATTGTCCGGTTTCCCTCTTACCTACAAAGATCTGGGCCTGTCTGTCACCAGCCGCACTCTAAGCCACTCTTTCCTTCTTTTTCCCCAGGCCATGCTGGTTCCCCTTCATGTTCTCAAACACACTTCATTGTTTCCTTTTTTAGGATCTTTCAGTCATATTAGGTTCCTGTTTGATGAAAAATCTCTGCTCAGTTTCTCATGCGGCTAAAACCTCACAGGCTTAAATATTTCATTATCTTCAGAACAACCAGTATATGGTCAAATACTGGGCTTAGAAGACATAGGAGAAATTCTAAAATGTTCTTTATCTGGTTCTAATTCACATTACGTGTGTTTGCACATTCTCTTCTTTATAGCCCTTTTCACTCTACAAATATCGATAGATTATACGTGTATGTTTATCTGTGTTCTGGGTCCTTGTTCTTTTGAATGATCATCTACTGAGCAACACTGACCAGGCTATTTTATTTTTTGTCCAACAGCATAGAGAGATTTTTTTTTATTTTATTAATTTGAATGATATTTTTTTTCTTTGTCAAGAGCCAGGCAGGCAGATGTTTAATGTGAGATCTGGCTTCTTTTCTTCTATAAACTAAACTCCTTCCAGAAAGGATTTACTTTCATGTCTTACTCAAGTCACACGAGTCCATAGTACATGGAAACTGCTCAATCATTTCTTTATTTGGTAAAAACTGTCAGTTAAGGTTGCCAGTTTGGAGAGAGAGAGAACAAGGCATTACAGAGGAATCCCCTGCCATCATCAACTCAACCCAGAATAGTCAACCTCAGTAAGATGAGAAGCCTAAAATTTAAATCTGGTCAGGGCCTGGCCATTGTGGCTCAGTGATTGAGCACCGACCTATGAACCAAGAGGTCTCTGGTTGGATTCTAGGTCAGGGCACATGTTCGAGTTGTGGAATCGATTCCCAGTGTGGGGCGTGCAGGAGGCAGCTGATCAATGGTGTTTCTCTCTCATCAGTGTTTCTATCTCTCTCTCCCTATCCCTTCCTCTCTCTGTAAATAAATAAACAAACAAACAAACAAATAAATAAATAAATAAACCTGGTCAGAAATTAGAACCAGATAAAGAACATTTTAGAATTTCTCCTCTGTCTTCTAAGCCCAGTATTTGACCATATCCCCTTTTCTTTCCACTATACTCTTTCTATTGAACAACACAGAGTTGTCTTGTATAAATGTTTACAAATTAATGAAAGAGTACAAGAATGAATGATTTCAGTTAAAAATATTTTTTCTTCATCATAATATTGTCTTTTGAGTTAGCTATAAGCTCATACCTTCGATATTTAATAGCTACACTCTTAATGAAGGAATATTGCTATCATGAGTGTCAGAGTATTTAAGCGAGAAGGTCTAATGTCGGTTATTTCTTACAGCCAACTGCATCTACGATCTGTGAATTTCTCACCATGATGGCGGTCTGTCACACAGCAGTCCCTGAGCGAGAGGGTGACAAGCTCATTTACCAAGCAGCATCTCCAGGTACAAAAGAAGCAATTGTGATGGATTTTTTTCCCGTGGAAATTTCTTCTTGAGATTGTCAATAAAACCAATTTAACTTGAAAAATTAAAATTACCAACTTAAGTTTTTTATTTATTTTTTTAAATATATTTTATTGATTTTTTTTTACAGAGAGGAAGAGAGAGGGATAGAGAGTTAGAAACATCGATGAGAGAGAATCATCAATCAGATGCCTCTTGCACAACCCCTACCGGGGGATGTGCCCGCAACTAACATACATGCCCCTGACCAGAATCGAACCTGGGACCTTTCAGTCCGCAGACCGACGCTCTACCGCTGAGCCAAACTGGTTTTGGCCCAACTTAAGATTTTTAAATTAAAAAAATCATTTACTAATTAGACAAACCTTGACTCTTGGAATTAAATATATCTAAATGTTAAAATATAAACCTTTATACAATTTTGGTAGATGATATAACATAGAAATTTGAATAACAAAATTCAAGCAAGTGAAAGTATTTTTTATATGCACATGGTAAATTATCCCTTCTTTCAAAAAAAAAAAAAACGTAAGTAAAAAGCTGTTTTTGCACATAAGCAGACAGAAAAGGAAGGTCTGCTTACCTAAAGAGTGTGCATTTCAGAGCACCAGTTTTGCTTCCCTCTTTGGGGAATGATAATCAGTAATAGATTGTTGTGAATTTATTTGGATGAGGATGGTTTACACATTTGAAGGGATTCCATAACATAGTATATTAGCATAGTTAATTTTTGAGCTTAATTTTAGACCTATTTTCAATGTAAATTTGGGTAAATAGTCAATCCAATTATTATAAGTTTTTCGGAAAGAAGGAACACACTTTGGAGAGCTTTGTTAGAAGGATTTTAAACTATAATATATTCTAAACCAGTAGCTGTAACCTAGTAGAATGTACCAAATTCCTTCTAAGTATAAGAAAAGTTACATCTCACATTGCTGGGATAGAAACTATATGAACATTCTCTTATCCCTCAGCAACAAGAAGTTTTAAAGTAGCATGGTGATGACAGTAATTACTAGTAATATATGAAAAAATAAAGCCTCCATTCCTTTATATCCATTTAAGTCAAATTCTCAATTAGTAGTGTTAGTTTTTCTACAATCAATGTTTTAGGAGAAAAGACATAGAATGTAAGAAGGCAGTTTTGTGTCATTCATTTTGAGAAAGATGTTCCTAGAAAATATGCTGGACCAAGAGGCACATGTACATTTTCATTCTTGTTTACAAGTAAGACTGAGTCTTAATGTTCAGAAAAAGGACTCTGGGTCTATACTGATCTCAGATTATTATATTCATTCCTTAATGTTAAAGTAAATGGATTGCATAACAGAAGCCAGAACAAGAAGAATTTTAATGCTTTAAAAATTAAACAGCACCCGGCCCAGGTGTCTCAGTGGTTGAGCGTTGGCCTATGAACCAAGAAGTCACAGTTTGATTCCCAGTCAGGGCACATGCCTACGTTATGGACTCAATCCCCAGTATGGGGCCTGGAGGAGGAGGCCGATCAATGATTCCCTCTCATCATTGATGTTTCTATCTCTCCCCCTCTCTTTTCCTCTCTGAAATCAACAAAACATTTTTTTAATTAAACAATAAATTATAGTATAGTGATGTATTTCTCTAGTGTTGGGAATAATTTTTATATCACCATGTATTTGCTTTCACCTATTTTTTTCCAAAACAGATGAGGGAGCTTTGGTCAGAGCAGCCAAGCAATTGAATTTTATTTTCACTGGAAGAACACCTGACTCAGTGATTATAGATTCAGTAAGTTATTTACTTTTAAGTCTTTTTTTCATCAAAGTAAACATATGTATAGCTTTAAAGATAAAATAATACCAAAAGGCTTGTTTTAAAATAGAGGTTCCCTACTCTAGAGGCAACCACCTTCTGTTACTTTATGTCTTTCTTCAAGCATTTATACATCTCATATTTTCAAAAAGTATATGTGATTAATGATACTCAGTTTCTTCAATATTATACATGCCTATTGACTTTCTATTATATTTTGTTAAGTGAGGATTTATCTCTTCTGACTCACCATCTCTTTCCAATCTACACTAATAAAAGAGAAATATGCAAATTGACCATACATTTGTAATGCCCACCAGCCAGTCAGGAGTGGGTATGCAAATTAATCCAACAAAGATGGCAGGTTAATTTGCATATGCAGGCACGGAGCAAAGACTGAAGATGACTAAAGACTGAAGAGGCTTGGATTCTCCGCTGTGGCCAGAGCAGAGAAGCCTTAAGACTTGGCTTCTCTGCTGCGGCTGCAGCAAAGACCTGGGTCCCAGGTGCTGGAGGAAAATTGATGCTGGCAGCCAGGGTAAGGAAGGCCTATTGCATGGATCTTCATGCAACAGGCCTCTGGTATTATTATAATTGTATTACAATTTTTGGTTAAACAAGTATTCAGATCCAGTTTATTAAATGTTCAAAAGACTTAAACATTTATCAAAAGAAGACATGAAAAAACATTGTTAGTCATTAGAGAAATGAAAATTAAAATTATAATGAGATACTACTACATACCATCAAAAAACCTAACATAAAAACTGTTACACCAAATGTTAATGATAATATAGAGGAAGTGGAGTACCCAGATATTTCTAGTAGACTCACAACATGATGCAATCCCTTTGGAAAACCTTTTAGAGTTTTCCAATACAAGTAAACTTGCACCTGACCCAGAACTTGTTCTCATGGTTGCCCAGGGAAAATGAAAGCTTATGTCCACAAGGCAATGTCTAGTGGAATGTTCTTAGTGGCTTTATTCATGGTAGCCAAAAACTGGAAACAAACCAGATGTCCATCAGTAGGACAATGGATAAACAGATTGTGATATACTCATACAATAGGATATCTAAACAGTAAAAAGGAATGAATTATTGATTCATCAACAGCATGGATAAATCTCAAAATCATTACATTGAGAGGAAAAAAAAATCAGACACAGAGGAGTGCATAGCCTTTGGTTTCATTTATAAGCAGCTCAAAATCAGGCAACAGTGATTTGTGGCAATAGAACTGAGAGCAGTGGTTGCCTCAGAGTCAGGGAGGAGGTTGGTTGGGAAAGGGCACAAAGGAATTTATGGGGTGAGGAGAATATTCGGTATCTTGTTTGAGGTGATTACACCAAGTATGCCTTTGTCAGACTAAATGAATTTCATTGAACTATACATTTAAGGAGTATGTGCTTTATGTATATAAGTTATATCATTATAAATCATTATTTAGTGTTTATATTATTACACCTGTAGCAATATGCCTAGCTCAACATTGCTATATTCAGTATTTTCTTGTTTGAATTTTATTTCCTGGCTTAAAATTATTTCCTGAAAATATGTTTCCTTTTATTTCCTAAAGATAAATGTGTACATTTTTAAATTGCTTATTTTCTTTTCTTCCTGTTGCTGATTGCCTTTATACCTTCTTACACACCTTTATCAGATAACCTGCCAGTTAGTTAACCTGTTCTTAAGACATCCTTCTTGAAGTCCTCCATTCTCCTTGGTCTGGGCCATTTTAGTCCTAAGGCTGCTTCCATGGCATTTGACATTCCTTTAGATTTTTCTCCTGTTTAGGACTTTTCCTCTATATCAACCCTTCTTTCTCAGTGAACTCCCTGGTTTTGAGGGAGCACATGATCTGTGAGTTTCATCAGGTTAAAAAGTTGTCCCGGAAGCGGGGGGCACAGGAGTGATAGCCCTCAGCAAGCCCACCTCTTTAGCTCTCGGATGCCCTGGCTGACAGTCTTACTCACAGATGTCACCCTGGAGCCACTGTCCTATACCCCCTTTATTTCCCGTTAGTCTGTGCTCGGCCTCCTATTTCCTAAAGCCCACGTCTCTGGTTCTTGGTTTACTCTTTCGTTTTTGTGGGACACATTCTTTAGTAGCTTCTTGAGAAATGGTACAAGGGGAATGATTAATTTTTTTTTCTTTCTCTCGAGTCTAAACATTTTTTTTTTATCTTACCATTATGCTTAATAGTTGATAGCCTACCTGCAAGTAGAATGTCAGGATGGAAACCATTTTCCTTAAGAATTTTGTTTGCTTCACTGTCTTCTGGCAGCCAGCACACTTAGTTGAGAAATCAGAACCCATTGTGATTCCACATATTTTCTGACTTGCCCTGCCCCGCCCCCCCCTGAGGATTGTAGGATCTTCTTTGTTCTAAGAGTTCTGAAATTGTACAATCCTATGCCTTAGTGGGAATATTTTAACCCGTTTTACTGAACACTGGGTGAACCCTTTTCCATTTGTAAATTGATATGCCATCCCTCAGTTCTGGAAAATTTTCTTGAATGATTCCATTTTCCTTCTTTTTGCTCTGCTCTCTCTTTAGAGAACCTTTTAACTTCTTTTCAGGCCTTTTCCTTTTTGTTCTACTTCTTGGAAGTTTTTCTCAACTTTGAATTTTTGCCCTTCTATTAATTTGTTTTTTTCATTTTCCCTGTCATGTTTTTGATTTCCAAAAACTTTTTTTTGCCCTGTCAATATTTCTTTTTTAATAGAATGCAGTTTTTGTTTCATGCATGTCATACGTTATTTCTCTGAGAGGAATAATGATAGTTATTGTAGGGAGCTGAGTGGGTTGGGGCATGTCATCAGGATAACAATGCCATGTCTTCAACTGTGCCAGTCAACTTCTAGACGAAAGACCCTCTTTCACCCTGGTCTTCTGCTGGTGCAGGAAGGGCCAGTGTTTGGGATGCTCCGACCCAGTTTTCCCTATTTTAGACCCCTCCTTTCACCTCCTAGTCCTAGAGCTGTCTGGCATTTCACTTCCATAGACTTTGAAGGATGATGCAGTACAGATCAGGTTGGTTTCCAGCTTTTCAGTGGCTGCTGTGGCATTTGACCTTCCTGTTTCTGCTAAGTAAGATTCCACTCATTGAGCTCTTTTCAAACTGTTGGTGCTATTGTCTTTTTTCCCCCTGCCATTAGAAGTGTCTTTCTTTTTAAGTGTTTACTATCCTTTTAGTGGGGCTTTGGGAAGGATGGAAATTAAGTGTGAATGTTCAGGCTTCAGTATTGTCCCAATGCCAAGGTTGCAGGTTCAGGTCAGGGCACATACAAGAACCAACCAGTGAATACATAAATAAGTGGGACACCAACTTAATCTCTCTCTCTCTCTCTCTCTCTCTCTCTCTCTCTCTCTCTCTCTCTCTCTCTCAATCTATCAATAAGTAAAACAATGGGAATGTTCAACCTTCCATCTTAACCCGTAAGTTAGTAAGTTCAATAAAAGATGATATATTTCAAAAGGGACGATTTGTTGGTGTTGACATTTTTTACAATAAATTTCATGACTAAGGTTTATTTCCAAGAAGGCAAAGAAACTTCCAACTTTATGTAATAATAAAATTCCTTTTCTTTATAGCTGGGGCAAGAAGAAAGATATGAATTGCTCAATGTCCTGGAGTTCACCAGGTAAAAACATCTGCTCTGTGATTTGTGTGCGTAAGATAAATGTCCGTCTATCGTTACTTTTTCCTTTTTACATAAGTAGGAAAGTAGGCTTTATTTTCTTTAACTGAACTTATTTAGACAAAACATTGCACTAAAATCTCGGGTACAATGTTTAATTTTCATAGCTGCAGATTAATCAGAAACAGTTTCCTTCAGAATGTTGCCAGATAGGACGCCTGAAGATAGTATAAAACTATTTTTCAGCATGACTGTCTGCATCACAACCGAGGGATATGGGACCAGGAGTCTTGAGGCTAATGATCTGGAAACATTGTTATACTTAGGGGGACCAAGATTGATGTGGAGTGAAGATGAATTAGAGTTCAGATCCCACAATCCTAATTATGTGCTCATTATACCTAACGGTCGCTGGGATCCGGAAGACATATCCATGTCTCTGCTAGGCATCAAACCAGCGACTATCTGGTGGGAAAGAGCAGAAAGCAGAGAGATTATTCTACTTCCTTCCTTTCTTTCTTTCTTTTTTTTTTTTAATATATTTTATTGATTTTGTACAGAGAGGAAAGGAGAGAGATAGAGAGTTAGAAACATTGATGAGAGAGAATCATCGATCAGCTGCCTCTTGCACACCCCCTACTGGGGATGTGCCTGCAACCAAGGTACATGTCCTTGACCGGAATCGAACCCGGGACCCTTCAGTCCTCAAGCCGACGCTCTATCCATTGAGCCAAACCGGTCTTGGCTACTTACTTCCTTTCTTAAAGTCAAATCATGGAGGCCTTCTGTTATAATCAGTGATGTGTCTGGGGTGTAGGCTTTTTATTACCACGTTCCTATTCAGTTTCCCAGCTGACCTACATTCTTGGGGCAAATAGTCTTCAGCTACAGACAGAAGGGCCTTTAATGGCTTCATTGCCGTTCACGGGGCCAAGGGACTGTTTTTCCTGCGCTCCCTTGTGTTGTATCTATGAAATATTCATAAATAGCCTATCAATTAGCATATGGATATGTTTGTGTATTAGCATACACCGATAAGCCCTGTGCTAAGCAGTTAAGTGCCGTGAAGAAAAAGAAGGCAAGGTTGGGAGGTTGGGCTTGTTCAGGATGCTTACGGGTGATGGGGGTAGGCATAAGGGGTGAAAGGGGAAAAAGGTGAGTAAGGTGGTATTAAAACAGGCTCCTGGAAAGACATGGGTGGTTTAAATTAGGCTGATAGTAGTGAAATTGATAGAACCCAGGTACCGTGAGGGATGTCAGGGGGGCGGTTTTGGGGGGGATTGGATGTGGAAGGGAGGAATTAGAGTCTTGGGTATGAATAGCTGGGTAGATAGATAGAGGTACTGTTTACACAGGTGGCAGGTATAGGAATAGGAACAGATGTGGCGGGTGACATGTTTGCGTTGTAGATGCCCGTGAGAAACACAAATGGAGGAGTCAGAGGTAGGCAGCTGGGTATAATGGCCTGGCGCATGGAAGAGAAGCCAGTGGGAGAAGTAGAAACGCTGAGGTCCTGGGCCTGTCCGTGGTGCCCAAAGCCATGGAGATGAGTGGGATCTGCTGGGTATAAAATAGAGAAGGCGGGGAACGAGAAAGGCTGAGGATTGAGCCCTGAGTAACTCCAAATTTAAGGGTTGATTAGAAAATGGGGAATTGCCTTGTTATTAGAGAAGCAGAGGACAACGGCACAGAGCCAGGGGAAGAGGATGATTTCGGGACAGTAATGGTCATCTGTGTGAGAAACAGCCGCAAAGTCAGCTCAGAGGAAGGTTGGAAAGCAGGTGTGGGATGTAGCCGTTCCGTGCAGTGGTGAGGAGAGGCCATCGTTTCTGTTTCTAATGACATACAGTTCATCCTCAACCATACCGGCTTAAATGCCGTCGTTGCTTTCTAATCTGAACACATTGGACCAGAGCGCCCCTCTACCCTGGTGGGTACTGACTCAGGCAGGTCACTAGGGAGCTGTTTCATCAATTATCCCTCCGGGGCAGCAGATGGTACCCTCCGGCCTTAAAAACCGTAAAGGAACTTCCAGAGGTACCCCACTGCCCGCCCAGGGGAGGGTTTGTATCCGTGGTCACATTTCAGTCAAATTTATTTTTTCAGTGTGACTCTTAAAGTATATGAGGCATGACACACATGTCGATGCGTATTCTCGGGATGATGACACGTTATGGAAAACCTTTTCTTCCAGCACCAGGAAAAGAATGTCGGTGATTGTTCGCACTCCATCCGGGAAGTTACGACTCTACTGCAAAGGAGCCGTAAGTTTTTATTTGTGTCTTTTGCAGGTTTGATTTGTGGTGGTGGTTCCTAATGTCTATGTTAAGCACTCTGCTGTGGAAATACAGCACAGATGTTTAGCACGACGTTGCTGACATCCCCTTTTGTTGGTGTTTTATAGTAATAGTGCTTGGTCTCTTCTGGTGCCGTGTGGAATTCCTTCTGGGCCAATTTGGTGCTTTAAAAAAGTGTGGCCTAGGTTATTCATATAATTTAATTTTTGATACCTTAACTTAAGGTGTATATTGCATAAAGAAGATAAGAGACACTTAAATACAGAAAATATTCTTAAATTGTATTAGAGAATACAACTTGACCACCAGTTGAATTTGAATTTTTAAAGACCACTGAAATGGGGGGGGTGGGGATTGGATCAGAATTATTGCAATAATTTCTTCACGTGGCAATCGCTATTTGTCTTGCATCGTTTTAAATTATAACAGAAATTTTTATTGTTGGTTGGCTTTGGTATATTGGCAGGTCAGACTGGCAGAAACAGCAATCTGTCATTCTAATTTGATTTTCCTAGTTAAAATATCTTTCCACTCATTGAAAAAATAAGAAATCTACTGACCAGAGCCTTTTTTGTTGTTCTTAAAATTGGTCAGGATTTTCCTTCTTAATTATCCTTTTTAGGTACCTTAGTCTACTTGGACTAGTCAGGTAACGTACCAACTTGGAACTTTGCAATTTTGAATATAATAATAAATAAATAAATAAATAAATAAATAAATAAAACACCTCACTTTAAAAGTCCATGGGACTTGGAAATTGACCTTATTAAGAAGCCCAAGCATCTCACCTTGTTCCTGTTGAGAGTGTTTTTCAATGCCTTGGTTTTAGAGCATTTGGTAGACCTACTTCATGGCGTCTCATGAATTTAGTCTTAGAATGCCCTTGGTTGTTGATCCAAACAATTAACATTTATTTGGTGTATACATTTTATCTACTAGACTTTGAAGTGGATTTGGATATAGGAAGATAACACCCAAGACTTGTTAGGAGCTTAAGACTAGTCAGAGAAATATATATAAAGAGAAGATGAGAATACAGTATTAAGGTATATTGTAAAGATTGCATCTTGATGGTAGCATTCAATGATAAGGGGATAAAGAGTGCCTTTAAGACTCTCACTTTGAATAGTGGATGTAAAAGTGTCCAGTTTAGTATACCCAACTCACATTTTGTCCTGCTTAGTTTTGAGTACTCTACCTACAAACTTTGTCTGGGGAATTAAAGCATTGAATACAAAAATAAAAACACTGGATTTCCTTTTCCATAATCATAGACATCATTTGCAAACATTAACTTGCTCATTGCATTGTTTTTCCCCGTTTTCAAATTGCCTATCCAATATTTGTTAAATATTAAAAAGGCATAAGTATATAAAATAGCAAGGCACATTTGAGAACCACATGTAGTTTGGCCAGCAACAGCAGAATGTAAGGCTGGAAAGGTGAGTTAGCTCATAGGTCTTTTCATGCCGAAGAACTTTTATGCTTGCTTCTGGATTGTTCTGATGCCATTTAGGAAGATGAGTGAAGACAAGAAAGAGATGAATATGGAGGTGCCAATTGAGGTTGTTGATGAAAAGGGCAAAGAGTTGATAAGGATCTGAACCAGGTCAGTTGCAGAGAGGGCTGAGAGGACAGAGATTTTAGTAATTGATTACATGTGGATGATGACGCAAGAGATGGTCTAGGATTATTATCAGATTTCTACTTGGCTGAGTTTACTACATGATACCACTTCCAAAATAGAGTGTTGGGGCTCATAAGGTGGAGATAACCTGGGGGGAAAACTGGGGTGCTAGTACAGACTTAGGAGGTAACAGGTGTAAGTGGAAACTAAAAGCAGAAGATGGATGAGAACTCGCAGGTAGAAAATACCACATGAAAAGAGAGCAGGACTAAAGGTGAAACTCAGAGGATCTAGAGGGGAGACTGAAATTTGGAGGAGATGTTTCCTTGGTAGAGTGAATATCCACAGAGACAAGTGCAACACAGTACGTTAGTAATAAAAGTCAATTAAGAAGCCATCACTAATACTTCCCAGTCAACATAGATAGTCTGTTCGTACTTTGATTGTATCTCCTCAATTCCAATATCATGGTAGTGATGGATAACAGTATAAGGAGAAAAGAGATAAAATCAGGCTCAAAGCAAATAGGAATAGAAAATCAAAGTGGCACATTGAAATGAAGCGTGAGCTGAGTTGGGTGGGAGTCCCAGGCCCTGGGTTTGGAATCCGGAAGGAGTGGTTGGAGATTGGTTTCTGTGGGGCAAAGGTGGCAAATAGTTCTTTCTACAATATAAAATGCAGATGGGAGCCAACTTCTACTCCTCGAAGCTTAAGACAGCAGTGAGCTTCCCAATCACGCAATGAAGCTGAGCAAAACTCATGCCAACCTCTGCTGGGTGTTAGAGATCCGATAGCTTGTAGACAGAGAGGGAGAAAGCAAAACTAGAGCATGGATTCACTACGGTTGAAATCATCCGGTCTAGCAAAGGATATCTAGGTTCAACATGATAAAAAAAAATTATAATTTTTATTTTCAATTCTTTATAATAAAAAATAAATTGGAGGGGAGAATGGGCTGCCTGTAAGATAAATTAGAAACCATAAATAAATTTAAGAAAGAACATAAGCAAATGGAATAAACTCTAGATTAGACAGAGTTGAAGAGGTGGGAGTGGAATTAGCAAATTAGAAGGTAGTACCTAAAGTTCTCATCTAGAATAGGGGTGGGGAACCTTTTCTCTGCCAGGGGCCATTTGGACATTTATAACCTCATCTGGGGGCCACACGAAATTATCAGCTTACAAATTAGCCTGCAAACATAAAATACACGTTATCTACATATGTGTTTACTTTTCACATGAAGGGTGGCCAGCTGTGATTGTCACTTAAAAACATGCCATTCAACCTGAAGAGAAACCAGAGGATGGAATTGGAGAACATCATGCTAAGTGAAATAAGCCAATGAAAGAAAGATACCACATGATGTCACTCATTTATGGATAATAAAGAACATTATAAACTGTTGAACAAAAAGATAGGTACAGAGACAATCAAGTATCAAACAGAATGTCAGATTACAGCAGGAAGGTTAGGGAGAGGTGGGGGAGATAAGAGTCAACCGAAGAACTTGTAAGCATGCATATAAGCATAACCAATGGACTCAAAACTCTGGGGAAGGAGGGCACGTAGGGGAGGAGGGGGGCAGGCAATCGTAAGATATGTACACATATAATACCTTAATAAAAAATGCGGAAAAAACAAACATGCCGTTCGATTCACGCAGAAGTCACGTTCGGTCCCCCGCTTTCCTCAGCGCCTTGGAGAAGGCAGAAAGTTCTCCTGTGCTGAGCACGTTTCTCCCGCCAGAATGCCTGGCTGCATGGCAGAATCTCCTCTCCCTAGCCCTATCATCACTTTGGTTTACATGATTTTAATCATTTAAAATATTTTCTTAGTTTTAAAGTGACCCTTTTTAATTTCATTGGACATGTCGTTAGTCTCTGGGGAAAAAAATAATAAATAAATAAGAGTTCCTAAGTTATGCCTTTCGTTCTCCGAAAGGAGCCACGCAGGGAAATCATCGTTACCTTTGCTTTGCCCCCCTCCCCATTCCGCCACTGACAAATGAAAAGAAATTCCTAATTGAGCCCGGGAATACTCCATCTGCTCTGAGGTCACTGGGTTCCGCCGCTCCCCAGGGCTCTAAATCACCGTCCATTAGTCTGCTTCCAGCGCAGCCCTGAGACCAGAGGCCCCGGGGCGGGGACACCACTGAGAAAGTAATTGCAGGTAAATGATTTATGTTTTCCTGGTCTCATAAAACCAGGAAGGCCAAAGACTAAAATTCTTAAAATGTTCAACTGAGGCCAAAGAGTAACTGAGGGAACAATAGGCAGTTTATAAAGGGCCAAGACCTCGAGAAACACACGTGGTGCTCAAGTTAAAGCGGAAAGGAGCTCTAAAGAGAACCCAGTTGTTGGATTTTACAGGCTTAGGAAATGGAGTTCTTAGAGATGCATCGCACGCAGTAGCATCTTATTATTTTTTAAAATAGGTTTATATTGATTTCAGAGAGGAAGGGAGAAGGAAAGAGAGCCAGAAACTTCAGTGATGAGAGACAATCATTGATGGATTGCCTCCTGCATGCCCCACACTGAGGATTGAGCTCACAACACAACCCAGCAGGTGCCCTGACCAGGAATCGAGTCCTGACTTCCTGGTTCATAGGTCGACACTTAACCACTGAGCCACACCAGTCAGGCCACAGTAGCATTTTAAAGGCTCTGAGAAGCTGCAGAAGGGCAAGCTCTTCACGTTGAACCTTTTGAGGGCTGGACCATTCTTCTCGTGCACCTGTGAGCACTGCCATGTTCTCCACAACCTTCAGAGACGGGGCAAGGGGAGGGCGGGAGGAGACCCTGCAGTGTGTGGAAGGTGAAGTGCTGATAGAAGATGAGATCTTGAATGTTGGAGTGACTACAAATGTATTCAGAAAAAGATGAAAATATTGGACTAAAATCTTATTCATTCTTGTCATGGAATTGGTATTATTTTGGGGCAATCTTCTATGCTTTAAAACCAAAGCTGAAAGGTATTGGTTGTTTTTATACAAATTTGCTACCAATAATGTTGCCCACATCAACTTTATTGAACTCAGAATACTTCGTTTAATTTTATACTTTCTGTTTGTTTTCCAGGACACCGTCATTTATGATCGACTGGCAGAGACTTCAAAATACAAAGAAATTACCCTAAAACATTTAGAGCAGTTTGCTACAGAAGGTGAGTGTAATATTGTAATAGAGCATGATTAAATGTGTTTTTAAAATCATAGACTACGGATACCCTGTGGGGTCATTGTTATTGTTTTACTTAGAGATTCCAGAAGCCAGATGATGATTAGGGTTGATTTTTTACATCATACTATATGCTATTCCCACCCATTATCTTCGTTTTGCTTTCTTGTATTTATTGAATTTTTAAGAAACTTTGTCCCCTTGGTGTAGAGCACATGTGTCAAACACAAGGCCCGCGGGCCAAATCCGTCCCGCCAGGCCTTGCAATGTGGCCCGCACCGCGCTGTCATCACTGCACTCCGCTGCGTTTCCATCACAATGACAGTTTATGACTGTTCAGTAAACCATTCGGCCCGCGATTTAGGCTGGATTTTAGGTTTTGGCCCCTTCTCGGATTGAGTTTGACACCCCTAGTGTAGAGGCTACAGGGCCTATAAATTGGTCCACTTTCTAGAATGGGCACTATTTACAGTTTAAATACTTGACTTTGTATCTCCTTTCATAAGCATCTGGGAAGCCTATATGGTGAGCCAGCCCCTGTGCTCGGGACTGGAGTTATAGATACAGAAGGTCTCTGCCTTCCAGGAGCGCTAAGCTAATATAGGCGGGCCACGGAAAATAATAATAATAATAATAATAATAATAATAATAATGAAACATTGTCCTTCACACCATAGCGGTGTTTGGGGATTTCTGCCCAGGCTTGGGGGCTTTCTGGGTGAGAGGAGGATGCTTTAAAAAGGTGATTTTAAGAATTTTGAGTCTTAAAGTAGATGCAGACCAGACAATGGAAGAGAATTGGAGAGAATGTGATGGAGAAAAAGTGACCAGCATGTGCCAAAACCCTGGTGTGCAGGAAGTGAATGGCAGAGAATGGGGTTGAAAATAATTGCTATGGGATCAATGAGCCAGACTTCAGGGCTTGGAGTTCCTTCTGAGGAACGAGTAAAAGATTTCAAGATTTCTTAAAAGGTTTTAAGAAAGTCACTCTAGACATGGAGGATGGGTTGAAGGAGTTAGGAATTAAAATCAGGGTGCCACTTTTAAAGGCTAGGGCAATTAATATATTATACATCTACACTAAGGCTTGTCATTCTTGAATTGGACTTCAACATGTTGCAATTAAATCAGCGTTTTCTAAATAAGACTTTATTAGATAAAAATAGAAGCGTCAGACTCCTGACTAAAATTTTATTTGGTGTTGAGGTGGATGCTACCTTTTTCAGGGCTGAGAACGTTATGCTTCGCTGTGGCCGAGATTTCGGAGAGTGACTTCCAGGAGTGGCGAGCAGTCTACGAGCGCGCGTCCACCGCCGTGCAGAACCGGCCGCTCAAGCTGGAGGAGAGTTACGAGCTAATCGAAAAGGTGCGTGGAAGGCAGTTCTGTTCACATAGAAAGCGTGGTTTCCAGGAAACATCCATCTCCACTCATGGGGCTGATGAAATAAAACCAAAATGTCTTCCCATCCCACTTACTGTTGAATTTCCACTAGTCTGAGCATTGACAGATCTTAATACCAGTTAAAGTTGTTGCTGAAAAGTCTCTGGCATGACTTTGTATGGATCTTTACTCATGTCGCAGTTGTGGAGCTGAAACTGAAAGCTGGTTTAGTCTACCAGGACTCCTGGCCTTGCCGTGTGCGTATTCCATTGCTTCTGCATCATTCAAGATACATATGCCACACTCCACACACATGGACATGCACATATGCACACACATTACAAATACATGCATGTGTACATAATAGTTAATGAATGTGTGTAATGTGCAATTCAAAATAACAGTAAATATTTTGTAGCTAATAATAATGTGTCGGCCACTGTTGCCTTTTATAGGCATCCATCATTTCCGTCACAACAGAAATGTCCTCATTTTATTTTCCAACCAACCAAGGCTATTCAGCCCCAAAGTGATGGGTACACTATTATTGATGCTGTTTTAATAGCAAGAAAGCTTACTTCCTCAATTAATATCAACAGACATTTTTCCATAGTCTTTACTCGGTGCCGGTGCTGTTTGTAGCACTTGAATCTATTTATTCATTTAATCTTCACAACACCCGCTCGGAGGTAGGTGCCACTAATTAACCCCGTTTTACAGAGGAAGAAATCAAGGCAACAGAGAGGTTAAGTCATTTGGCTGCAATTACACAGCGCCTCAGAGGACAAGCCAGCATTCTCACTCTGGCTCCCAAGTTCATGCTCTTAGCCACTCAAGCATCTTCATTCTAACCTTTAACTTTACATCAAGTAACTTCCTACGTGCATTACCCCAGCTGTACTGGAGTGTACTGCATGGAAGCAAGCTTCCTGTTGGCTACCGTTTCTTGGGTCTTGCTTTCAGGTGAGCATTTTCACTTTCTACTCCCTGCGTGCCCGCCCCTCTGGGAACAGTCATGCTCCAAATGCAAGTGGTGGTCTCTGTCAGAAACAGTGCCGTCTGTGACCCTAGATCTCATCCTCCTGTCTCCTCGGTGGATAATGATCACTTTGTTCCTCATATCTCCCTTGTATTTGAACTGAAGATGTGCACACATAGCAGGAGGCTTGTTACCAATCCACTTACTGAATTTCTTTTTTTCCTAACACGCTCATATATGATGATGCCTTGGGGTATTACGTGGTGAAATAAAAATAATATTTTACTGGTGAGGCCATGACCATAATCTCTTTCCATCTTGCCAACCAAAGTCACATGTCTTGAAGCACAAATGGTATTGATTTGTAATCTTTTGCTTCTCTTACTCCTCAAGAAGTAAAGAAATAAAGCTTTACTCTGTTTGCAAATTCTCCTGTTTCCCTTTTTACACAGCCTGAACTTGACGTAGCCAGCCTTCTACCACATGCTAATGAGATATCATTCATATACAATAAGTGACAAGAAAATATTTGAAGTTAGATTTTAGATATTAAATTGTGTTTGTATGTGCAGCATACTGCAGGGATTTCTGGACTTGAATCTTGAATCTGGGTGTCCTAGAATTTCTAGATTAGATTTTATAGGTTAAACAATGGTCATGGTGGTGTGGTGTGTGTGTTTGTGAGTATATGTATGTATGTGTAATATCTGTTATTAGAAGCGTTGTCATTTCCATCTTTAAGTGAAATACGTAGATTATTTTGCCTTTTACCAGCAGATGGCGATGGTGAGTCACATTGAAATTTAAGTTGCCTGGGGAAATCCATAGCATGGATGTGTATAGTTTTAGTTTACAAATACACAAACCTCCCTTGCCTCTTACCTAAAATAAATGGTAAAGGTAATTTAAAGCTAATTCCTCTCTAGTTCGTGATAAGCTGTGGTCTCTAGGTTTTACTGGAAAATCTAAGACCCATAAAGTTTAAGGTTGCCCAGTTCAGCCAGCTTGTTTCAAATTAGGATTGGTTTCCTAATTCATCCCTCCCCCTGAAACCATAGTTTCATCCATTTATTCAGGTTAGGCAGTTAATAGATATTAGTTACCTATTAATATTAGTTATGGGGTGACTAAGCAATTAAGCAAATAAGCAGTGCTCAGCGTAGCCCTCTGAGTGTCGCTGTCTGAGCAGCTTCCTTAAGGGTGTCTGAAGGGAGGCGTGGCTCACAAACTCCATCCAAAGGAAACTTTAGACAGGTGGCAGCTTTTGAAATGAGCCTCAGAAGATTAATTTACCAGTTAAAGGGGAGCAGAGGTCTTTTTGGGAGAAAGAATAGGCACGTACAAGAAGGAAAGTCTTTGCAACTGAGAGCTGGTTTTCTGAAAAGGGCTTTTCCCAGCCCTGATCGTGTTGGCACCCCCAGAGCCAGGTGATACCATGTCTTCATTAGTCCGAGCTCCCTGCTTTGTTAAAACCAGCTGGGCTTCGCACTCAGTGGGGTCTCGGGCCAGTGACTGCCACTGAAGCCACCTAGGGCGGCAGGTCTCAGCGTCAGACCAGGCCCTGCTGCTGTGTCACCCTGGCTTACACCTAGCTGTCAGCCTTACGGTTCACCCACTGGCTTCTTCCTTGGCTCTTTTAAGGGAGACATGTTGGTTATGTAATCTTTTTAAATGTCATTGGAATCCATTTTTTATGTAGAGCATAACAGTGGCCTTACCACATAAGATAGTAAATTTTAAACTCGGCGTGGTTTGCAAGCACCAGTGGGGTCCCTCAGCCTGGTCTGTGCTCTCTCGCAATCTGGAACCCCTCAGGGGATGTCAGTCTGCCAGTTTTGGCCCGATCCCCACATGCCAGGCCAAGGGACCCCACCAGCGCACAAATCTGTGCACCTGGCCTCTAGTATGCATATAAGATCTTTGGTTAATCTCTTCCCGCCCTCCTCCTTCCCTTTGAGACTCATAGGTTCCATGTTTTCATGCCTGTGCATTGAGCATCTGCATCCTGATGGTCAGTGTGCATCATAGCTACTGGTCAACCAATCTCTTAGACTTTATATATAGATAGATAGATAGATAGATAGATAGATAGATAGATAGATATAGATATAGATATAGATATAGATATCCTATATAATAAAAGGGTAATATGCAAATCAATCAAACAGTGGAATAACCAGTTGCAGGAGCTGCCCCTTGGTGGTCAGTACGCCCCCACAGGGGGAGCACTGCTCAACCACAGTGAGGGCTGGCCAGCTCAGAGGCCCGCCTCTGCGGCAGCGCTAAGGGGAGAGGGCCTAAGCTGCAGTCGAACGTCCTCCAAAGGCTCCCAGACTACAAAAGGGCACAGGCCGTGCTGAGGACCCCCCTCACACACCCTTGAGGAGTGCACCGATGTCATGCACTGGGCCTCTAGTATGTATATATATACTGTATATATAACAGAGGGAAGTGAGGCTGCTCTGCTGAAGGAGCACAGGGGCGCAGAGAAATCCAAGTTGCTCCCTTCCGCCTCCACCTTGCCCTCATCGTGGTTCACAAGCACAACCCTGGGCCTCCACCGAGCATAGCTGAAAAAACCTAATGCTGTTCCATCCCAGTGGGAAGTTTGTAGAACATGTGCTTCTCAAAATGACTATGGACATCTTCCCTTGCTTTTCAGCAAAAATCAGAACATTTTTATGGTCCCATACAGGGGTTTCTGAGCCTATCTGAATGAATAATGCAGAGTGCCATTGACTTGTTAATGGAATGTCATCATAAAGACATTCCAATGTTTAAAGATTTGTAGAGCTATTCCTGAAGACAGGAATATTTTTCATATGTAACAAAAGAAGTGAAAATTTTTTAATGTTATTAAGGTTGTACTTTTAAACCCTGCTGTCTATCTTATCCCTTCGATGTTGGTTCAAACAAGAAATTCCGTTTTTAAAATAACAGCCTTGGGGTCTGTAACTTTTAGCATAGCTGGAAAAAAGTGCAAAAAGACCAAGAACATCCAAGAAGATAATGACCTTTGTGACATTTGTCCCTAGGTTCAGTGCCTTGTCACTTACAAACACTAGAATGCATTAAGGAAAGAGGACTTGGGAAAAAGGAGAGTCCTTGGATATTGTTATCTCTATTGATGGTCACTGTTAGATGAGAAGATTTAGGACTTTTACATTCATCTATAAAACATCCTCTCTGCTACAGTCTGGGCACATTTCGATGGTAAACTTTTCCGAATTTAGAAAAGAATTCTCATGCTGTGGATTATTTCAAGATGGTACCGAACCATCTTGTTTCTGGTACTAAAAGCAGGCCAAGAGGTGACATGCATTATTAGGAAGGCAAAATTATTCAAGAACAAGAATATCGTTAAAATGAAAAACATATTGTTAGCGTCGTAGCAGGTACTGGAGGCGCCCTGGCCCCATTTTGGGAGAATTGTCGCATCCCCTTGGGTGTGTGGACAGTGACACCTCTTTGTCTCTCAGTCACAGCTTGAGAGAAGTTGCAGTTGTCTCATGCTTCCCCTCAGCACACTGGAGCTGTTTTCCTTCTCTAACCTTATTCTTTTGACCTTATTCTTTTGAAAGATAATTAATGTATCAATATTTGGACGTGTAACTTTAGATTACGAAACCTCTATTGTGTTGGCCTATATTTTTAAAACTCAGATTTTTTTTTTAAATTAAATTAAGCATTAATTTATTTGTTTTGGGTCAGGAATAATATCAAATAAGAAACCGAATAATTATGAAGCTGTTTGCTTCAATACCGGTGGCTTCTCTGTAATTCCTCACCATCTTTGATCTGCCATTTTACATTTCTCCCAACATATTTCTAAGACATGTAGATTCTCCCCCCTGCCCCCCAGACTTGTACTGCTGGGTTCCTTTGAAAATTAATGGTACAGAGGGCTGTGATCATACTTATCAGGGAAGATATCATAATTAAACCGTTGGTTGAAATATGAAGGTATGCTTTCCTGGTAAATACAGTCTTTGAAAATTTTGTTATA